TGAATGTTGAACTGTCACGTGGCTGTATACGGGGATACCAGAAGGGAAAAAATATTTTAAGATTATGCACATTTTAAAAAATTGGGGACATCATTTTATGTGCGAACTATTAAGATTAGATTTTGCTGTAACCAAGTAAATATTAAAAAATAACGCTTTTCCCTATATAACTTCTTTTAAAAAACGCAGTACAAAAACTAAGAAAACTTAATGATAAACTCTATCATATGTCTGTGGAGTAATATAATTAAGCGAGGGAAAGTGTAAAAAAAAAACAAAAATTAAGAAACCAACAGAATTTTTGTATTAATTACATTAAGCCTAATTTGTAATTTTTTCTTACTGGTATCATTCCTATTGTGCATATTAGTGATGTGACATAATAGTAATAATAGTTGATGAAATAAGAGGTTTAAATTTTGTTATGAAACAGTAAAATGTAATTCAGTTCGACAATGTTCTACAGTGGTTTGATAGTAATTTTTTAAAGCTTAATTCAAATAAAATGAAATACATAAAGTTTGCATTACCTAATGTGTGGCATATTAATACACGTATAAATGTAAATAGTGAAAAAGTTGAGTTGGTGAAATCGACAAAGTTCCTTGGTATTACACTAGATTCCCGACTGCAATGGGATCCTCATATTGATAATTTGTCAAGTAGACTGAGTTCTGCAGCATTTGCTGTTAAGCAAATTAGACTCTTGACAAATGTTGAAACGGCAGGATTGGTATATTTTAGTTATTTTCATAGTGTAATGACGTATAATCTATTGTTGTGGGGTTCTGCGGCTAGCATTCAAGATATTTTTAATCTACAAAAGAGAGCTGTTCATGCTATATATAATTTACGGTCTAGAGAATCTCTCAGAGAAATATTTAAAGAAATAAATATTTTGACTGTTGCCTCTCAATACATCAATGAAAATATTATCTACGCAAGAAAACATTACGATTCCTTCACAAAAAAAAGTAGTGTTCATAATCATAACACAAGAAATAAAAAAAAACTTGCCGTTCCAAGCTTCAGACTTCAGAAAACCAGAGGATCAATGCATTTACATTGCTATGTTCAATAAAGTTCCACAAAATGTAGTTGACCTACCCATAAATAAATTTAAAATTCATGTAATGAACATACTTATGAGTAAAGGCTATTATAAAGTTGATGATTATTTTAAGAATCGCAATGCATGGAATGAATAGCCATCGCTTTGTTCTATAAAGACTAATTATATGTTCAACCTATGTCCTTCAGACTTTGAAAGTTGTATTTATTATTGTGATAAGATATGAAATGACATGATTTATGTAAATATCATAGGGCTGGTAAGTTTCTTTCGCTTGTTCTTCTTGTCAGCTAGAAGACGTCCTGAACAAGTGGTAGGGGAAATAAATTTTTGGACGATTCAAAAGCGATTCATAATAACTAATATGATCATTACAATAATAAATTGATCATAGCCATGTTTGTTTTACTTTATTATTCTAAGTTTTATAACTGTAATAATAATAGTATCTACATTTTTAATTGCAACGACTGGACAATAAGGAATCGCTGGTCAAGTATGAGTTTGAAAGCCGTGACAAAAAAGTTTGAAGACAGACACAAAAGCGATAAGTACGTACAAACGTCAATCTACATATAAAGTCACATCCGTTTGAGACATGCGTTTATAAACTTATGTGCAAATATGAAGCAACAAAAAAATTGATAAAAGCTGTTCTGTGGGCGGTTCTTTAAAGTGGCTATCTTAACTCGATTTCTATAATAATGGTTTCCGATTATGAATCAGCATAATAAAGTAAATTAAATTGACGCCTATAAATTAATTTTGTAAATTAAATTCACACCACCAACAATATTACGTTAGTTGAAAGCATGATTTTTTGTTTGTATAGATAATATGTTGTTTTGAAATTCATTTGATAGGTTTAGGTCTAAAACGGATAGGACAAAATAAATTATGTAAACAGGGCAATCCGTTGTAAAGTTATTAGGGAAACTGAAATATAAGTAATGCAAAATGAGTGACATCCAGTTTCACCAGTTTCGAATAAGACCTATTAGGCCAACACTAGTAGCTTTTCACGAAGTTTCGTTTGATTTATGTATTGTTCATAAAACGTTGATATACTTCGTAACTTAGATATTTATAGCACATCAATATTTTTTTATATTTATCTGCGTGTAAATAATTAACCGAATCTTCGTAAAAAAGTGCCTGAATAGTTCATTATTTCATCTGTTCAGTATCAATTCATCTTTTATTTTCAGGAGGCACAGCACTATTTTTTGCAAAAGTGCACAATATGATTTACATTGCTGTCTAGAAACGGGGTTAGAAACATTAATGTTGGTTTGAGCAAACAATGTACATTTTATTTGAAATTGTGTCAAATTATTACGTTTTTTATATGTTAGCACTAAAATTGTACTTACCAGTGAAAGGAAATGTTTGCATTAGTTAGATTGTATACTTTGTTTTGCTTTTTGCAAGTGATAATAGCACAAAACGGTATTTTTTATAGAAAAAATCAGTAAAATCACCACTCGACGATTGACGAACGACTGACAAATATAAAACCGAGGAAAGGGCGTCATATGAGTAAAAGCGCATATGCCAGCGACGCTTGCCCCGCCCACTTACTATTTCTATTCTCTCTCTATGTTCTGTGATTTTCAGTAATGAAGATAACAACACGAGGGAGATAAAAATAATTCGAAATTTTCAGAATTTTCGTTTCGGGAATAATAGAGTAGGCCCTCAGGATACAATTAAATAAACACATTTTAAATTTATCAAGCTTTCAAAATATACCGTATTTTCATTGATTCAAATGATATTACAATATAAATACTACCACTGAGGTCAAAAGGCTGTCACACTGATTTTGAAGTTTCATCATCGTTGAGGTCCCAAATTCAATTCTCGGTTGGGTCAATATTGAAGAGTCTGAATATTTGTATTACGATGTCTCAGATTTTGAAATCAATTGGTTATTAAAATTTAATTACTATACTAAATTTTATTGGGAATAAACGACAAGTTTTCCGCCGCTTCGCTCGCAGGGTTACACGGCATATTGATGAAAATTGCATTAAAATCCCTTATGTAGTTCAAAAGATCTCAGCGTACAGACAGCTATCATACTCATACGCCTCAAAATCCACAAGAGGAAGATCATCAGCACAGGAGCCGAGATGTCATACAAAGCAGCGGGAGCTCCACAGCAAAACCAACAAGGACATTTCAATTTTCCCGCATTAATTAATTTATTTCTATTTTTTATTTTAACGTAATTTTTCTATCTAAATCATTAATGTAGTGTATGTTTTCTTATCAAACAATCAGTAGCCTTAACGTTCATCTCCTGGACGTACGACACACGCATCGTACATTTCTCGAGTCAGCATTTTATTTATTATTCGCGATTAAAATTAATTTTTTAACCTACTTTCAATTCAGTTCGTTACAATGTGTACTCCTATCTAGTATCATTACCTATCTATCTAGGTCTTTATAAATAAATAATTATCAGTTAAATCAGTGTTTCTATCAAGATTACTATATCAAGATCATCATCATAATCAGTTAAAGGTGTACAGACCGTACATCTTTATGGTCCTTCGAGGCAGTGGGAGGAGACTGTTTTATATTATTTATAGATTAAGTACTAGACCTAATGCAATGCAGTTATAAAATTACAACTTCCGGAACGTCTTTCATGTTTAATATGTTATGTTTTATTATTCACATTGTAATTACGATTGAACAGATAATAAACATGTGTTAAATTAGTTGTATAATTAACAGTAATTGATGTTGATTTGACGAATTAGCTGGAACCGAATGTTAATTGTATTATTACCTCCAAAACTAATAGGTCTACGAGCTAATGTTATAGGTTTTGATTAGTTTGAATGCATGAGATGTCATTATTTATTTCATTTAGATAAGATTGTTAAATTTCAGAAATCATAAAAGCCGGTAAGCATATATGACAAGAGTAATGAAAGTGGGGGAGGTGAAATATGTATATAAGGAAGTATGCCGCATAGGATACGATGTGAAGATATAGATGGATTATTTTTTAGCAAAAAAAGAGTTTACGTATTCATTAGTCCATTGTCTATCATTGCGAAATGCAGATAAAGCAGATCAAGTTACACCCATTTCAAAACGATAAAATATTCGACAGCTAATGTTTTTTTTTTCTTTTTTCCAGTGTTTTGTGTTCAAACTTCAGCTTTGATTACAATCGGTGATATATTTCTTTATGGCAACACCGCAGCGTTAGCTTGGAGTCTTCCTACAGATTCTAAGTTCTTCTACATGTTTAAGCGATATGACAAAGTAGCATTAAGAAGAGGCGATTTCAAAAATAGCGTTTATTATGTCGACGATAAGGGGCAGCTTATTTCTAAAGTTCCATATAAAAGGTAAATGAGGTTATTAAAATTGTCATGTTCTAGTTGTTTATTTTTATTCTCGCGTAAATAATAGCCTATATCACCCACGTCTGATGAAGTTGCCCGTAGGTAAACGAATTATTAAAACAATTTCGGAACGGATTTAATGCAAATAAACATACAATCAATCAAATCGATATACAGTTATATACGATTATATAGAAATACAGAAATAGTTCTACTGGCTTTCTTTGTAGCTGATAATATATCTTTTTTTTATCATCCATCCATCCATGGTTGGTGATCTGCCTTTAAGAAACTTGCATGATTACAGTAACTTTTATGAAATATAAAATGAATAACTGTCAAAAATATTTTTAAGCGTACAACTTTCTCAAAGGCTGGCCATAGGATGGGCGACCAAAAAATATCTCGATCTCCTCCGTATTTCGGTAGGTACGTTATACCGTTGGTGAAAGCTGCATCTGCAGTTGTTAACACAAATCAATCTGTATTGTGCCTGCGTGGTGGAGCATGGCCCGTTCTCCCTAATAGTCTTCAACCCTGGGGTTAGTGGATAGTTTAATAGAGTGATAATTATAAACATTTACATATTTCAGAACAAAACTTGCCAATCCAACATTAGCAAAACGTAGTATAGATGAAGAAGAAACATTTAGAGAGAAATTAAAAGCAATGCTAGACCGCAATAAGATGCATGAACAACAGAAAGCCAGAGAATATTTGAAAAAAGACCATATGGATGAAGACACTAGAGATTATCATCGGAACAGCCGTGCTGAACTAATAGGGAAAGTTGAAAAGCTGTTAACAGCGTGAGTATTTGCGAATTATTTCAAATACAACAAGATTATTTCTATTACTTCATTTATACTCCTGTAGACTCGAGTGGATTGGTCCAGGCATAGATATACATATATAAACTATGTCCAGGCTACCTTTTTTGTTATAGGAAGAGGTCTTTTAGGCTCATCGTTTATCATAGAAAGGGATATCGATAGGTTTTAGTGGGTATGTGTCTGCGCTTTGTCTAGGAGCATTGGGAGAAATTCCCACATAACCTCGCTAAACTGCTCTTGTGTATAACGAAAGCATCTCCCATTGTTAAAAAAGTATAAAGACAAAACAGCACAGCCGATTTTCTCCGAAAGTACTGGAGTTGTAAATACAGGAAAAAACTTATAAGTTCGTCTCGCTTTTGATTGTTTTTGTGACTTTTAAAAGTAATTGTTTTGGGCTATCACTTTAGACCACAATACCTTAGTTTGATCTATTTGAACGGCCTTATTTTTTAAAAGACCAATTTAGATATTTTTGACTCATCATAGTCAAAGAATTTCAATTGTTTGATACGTCCGATGTCAGCCCGTCCATTCATAGATGCGAAAGTTTAGTAATTTACGCAAGGGCCAGTTATAGGATAGGTAATCAAAATTTTATTATTTCGGGCTTCTCCGTTCTTAGGAAAGCACTTTTAAGTCCTTGGTCTCGGCTACTTCTCCAGTCATTAATACTTACCATTCCGCACTGGTCGCTCATGGTGAGTCGTTGCCCATTCTTATTATTAAATTTAATTCCATCCATAATGATAAAAATTGTGAACAGGTTGGGTAAAGATGGCCGACAATGCGTGTTATACAAATTATGTAAAGCATCACAATCATCAACGCAACAAGGGACGTTCCTTGAGGAATTACTTAGAATTATTTTCACGTAAGTATTCTATTTTTTAAGATTCCAATATCTTTACAATTTGAATGACTATTGAGAATCAATAACATCTGTGAGATTTGTAAAAGAAGTCACGTTTTTTTTAATCAAACGATGAAAATAAACCCTATTAGGCCTTTCGGGATCGGCCTTTACGAAGTAAGGCCATGTAATCTTAGCTCAAATACTGTTTTTTTTATAAAATTGTGTACCTACATATAAAATAAAACCTTTTTTCAATATTACGGCAGCAACTCGATTCTTTAAAAGTGTTTGTTTTATTTTATTGATCTAAATTGTGAGTTTATTCGATATGTCATTTATTTTACGTAAGTCACTTTCTTTGTAAAGAGGTTATTCTTGCACACTCACTAAAAGTGAAAAAGTGTTACCCTTCCAGTCCTAGTGGTTGGTATTGCTAAAGACCTATCTTAATTCTTTTGACAAGATATATGTTTGTACGAGTTTTCTATTTTTTTTTTATTACTTCAGGTTACCTAAAGGTACTCAATTTACCAAAGATGAACATCAGGAATATGATAAGGCACACACTTCAACAGAAAACTGCGATAAGTTTTATCCCGGATGTAATCATTATACCTGAAAATCATAATTTGTAGAAATAAAATATTCGTTTGAAAAATGATGCATTTTTACTATAATAAACCTTTGTCCTAAGATGTGTCGCGTATCTTCGGCCGCGAAACTTTAGATCTGACAAATATATGATATGACGTTCATGTTGAGTTGCATGAATGACCATTAAGTTCTAATGAATGTTTCAAATACGATTTTTTTTAGCAGACGACACTTTTAACTAATTTTGATGGACACTTGAGCAACTGAGCACTTATACTTGCTTATATTTGTACATCCAACAGATAAACCGTCGGGTACTAAAGCATATTTCCGTGAGACGTTTGACGACTACACTTGATGGCACACTAATTTGGTTGGTGTTAAGGTTCTAGATCCCATTTGCACATAATTATATGTTGCATAGTAGGTATGTTTTAAGTATAAATAATAAGAGTAGGTCGATTTCTTCTGTATATGTGTGTAATATGTTAATATGTTGATCCAAATTACGTAAATTACAATATTACGAACATAAACTTTATGACAAAAATTAATAGAGCAGAGTATTATTAGACCCAAAAACAACTATGCCAAAGTATATCAGGAGTGAAATTTTGCAAAAGAGAGGATCCCATATTGGAGTAACCATTAACAATAATTATAGATATCTTAAGAAAGTACTGAAAGAAGCAAATGTCTCAGGTATCAAGCTAGAATCGAATCAACAACCTTTCGTTTAGGGAAGAGTGTTCTTGCAACTGAGCTACTGCATATACGAGGGTCAAACTGAAAGTTCTTAGAAAATCAAAAACTGATTACATTAGCCAGTTATTAGTTTTATTATATCTTTTCAAAATATTGTCCATTCACGTCAATACACCGCTGCATGCGATGGAACCACTGGGAAAAGCACTTTGCCCACTCGTCCTTAGGGGTCTCTTCAATGGCATCGCGATACGCAGCCACCGCTTCTTCAGCATTCATAAACCGCTTTCCTTTAAGTTTTTCTTTAATTTTTGGAAATAAATAAAAATCACAAGGCGCGAGGTCGGGGCTATACGGCGGGTGACCCAGTAATTCAACGTTTGATGTCGCCAAATAGTCGATCGTTCGCTTGGCGGTGTGCGACGAGGCGTTGTCGTGGTGAAGGAGGATCCTACTGCGAGGTCGTTTCTCTCGAACTTTTTCCAAGACAAGTGGCAAACAATTGGTAGTGTACCATTCTGCAGAAACTGTTGTTTGATCCTCTAACACAATTGTTGCAAAATGACCTATCCTTCCAAAGAACGAGGCCACCATTTTTTTTCCCGCACTTCGATCTCTCTTCACTTTAGTTGGCAACTCCTCGAAAGGAAACACCCACTGAGCAGATTGTCTTTTGGTTTTAGGATCATAACAGTAAATCCAGCTTTCGTCACCTGTTAGTATGTCGAACACAGCATTTGAGTCACCTCCGTTAAATCTTTCAATCATTTTACGACACCAATCCACACGATGGAGTTTTTGAGCCTCAGTCAAATTATGAGGTATCCACTGGGCGCAAAGCTTCCTGACCGCTAAATGTTCGTGGAGGATTTTGTGCACTTGACTCATACCGATGCCTAAGCTTGTCCGAATCTGTTGATAGGTCACTCTTTTGTCAGTCTCTATCATACGCCGCACAACACAGATGTTATCTTCAGTCGTCGCCGTAGAAGGCCGTCCCTCACGTAAATCATCAGTGAGATTAGTGCGACCACGTTTAAACTCATTAAACTAGTTGTAAACAGTCGCACGAGATGGGGCTTCATCGTGAAAGGCCAATCGTAGTCTATTATAACTTTCTTGTTGACTTAAATGACATCGAAAGTCATAAAAAATCATTGCACGAAAATTTTCTCGTGTTAAATTCATGATGACGTGACACAGACAATTTTCAATTTGCCGCCAAATCGTAAAACAAATGACAAATGAATGAAATATATACTCAGTAATATTGGCAAAGAGTTATATTTTCAAATTTTAGAATTATTTTTTTATTATATTGTTTATAAGTGGCCAGTTCTAAGAACTTTCAGTTTGACCCTCGTAAAGATATAATTTTTATTATAACTTTATATGAAGTTTCATCGATCAACGTTACATATCAGCTGTTCCCGTTACTTTTAAACCAATTTGTTGATTCACTATCTTTTGTTTTTACTCTAAAGAACAACCTACTTAAGTTGAACTTTTATTGTTGACCCGAAACCCACTCAACTAGTTCTATCAGTCAAAAATAATCTCTACGTATAAACTATTACAGATACTTTTTGAATGACCTTCAATTCCAAATAGGCTTATTGGTACATTTACCATACTGGTATTTAGCACCATTCTGGTCTTCTGTTTTGTGCGGTCACTATAATTGGAGGTAAACAGTTAACTATTTAATAGTTTACTGTTGTTATTCACTTGTTTATTCCGTGACAGACCATTGTCTACATCTGTTTGGGAAGTATACAGTGTAATATAAAATCACAATAGAAAAAAAAGCAGTTCAAATTTAAATATCATTAGATAAGAAGTAAGTATAAACGATGTTGTTTTTATTAAATTTCATTAACACAGCTACTTATCTATAATATCAGGCCCAAAACATATAGATTTAAAAGCTAACTCAAAAATAATTTGAAGTTACTTTTAGTTATTTTTATAGTCAATCAACTCCAATTAATTTATACGTAATCCAGTAAGAGTTTTAGTGCTGGATTTTCGACGTTAGAGGTTGTATAAAGTGGAACTTCCATATCTTCATATAGAGTAGCTACTAAATTTTATTTTATATGCATATCAGTTGGTTGCAAAAATGTTCTATTAAAGTTTAATGACAACTGTGAGCTCTAATTTATAGTTCTTGAAATTTTGTATCGATAATGTTGCTTTAAACTATTGACAATTTTAATGGACGTTTGTGCATCTGGGTATATATACGTTTGCAGTTTCAGTTTTTCCTACGTCAAAAGTTTTTATTATAACAAGTATTGAGATAAAAGACTTACCGTTCAATATATTAATGAAAACAAATTTCTTGTAGATAAGAGAAATTTCGTTCACCACATGGATATAATACTCATGGCATTTCTAACATTCATCAGTGTACACATAATAGCGACAGACGAATTGATTTCTAACTATGAAAATCATACTGATGAATTCGAAATAGAAAACCGATCGAGAATTTTATCGAGAAGGAAAAGGTTTTTGGTGTTCCCAGATGGCAGTTCCTTCCAGTTGGGTAATTGTATTCTTTACAAATTTGCGTTTGTAGAATAAGCCAGTCGTGTGTGTCAATCTTAACCTTTAGATGTCCTAATATACCTTAATAGGCAATTTGATTATTACGAATAATTAATGAGAAATTATTTTCAAATGATTCAGTTACATTGAGTAATAGTTTGTTTATAAAATAAGGTTATTTGTTAGAACGCTTTCTGTCTTGTTATTCCTGCGTGATGTTTATAGTTCACTAGACGTCACATCATAGTTTAATATGTATCATCCCTTTCAAATTGATATTTCAAAAGTCTGAATAAATTATTGAAATATTTTATTTGTTCTTGCGAATTCAGTTTAAAAGAATACGACAGCCTGAATAAAGATTAAGCAATAATCCCCCTCTTTCTTTCTTCTTAAAAAGTAACCTGTCTGCTTTATGGTACTCGTCTCTATTCATCGGCCCTGCAGTGGATTTAACGTGTAGATACAGATAATAAAAATTCGCTTTTGTTTCAGTATTTTGTACACAAAATCCAGGGTTTCTCATGCTTGGTAATACGATATGGTTTGGCAATACAGCTGCTTTAGCTTGGGAACTACCCACTGATCCTGGAATCTTCAATATATTGAAAGAACATAAAAAATATTATCCGAACAGAAGACAAGATTCATCAAAACACATTTTGTATTTAGACGAAGATGGAAAGTTGATAGGAAAAGTGCCTTATAAAAGGTACCAAATAAATATATATCATGTGGTTTTATATCTGAAAATAGTTAATCATTACATTTTTTTTGCAGACGACCGATTGTAAATCCAGCTTTCGCTAAACGAAGTGTAGATGGAAAAATCTCAACAGAAAACACTTTAAATAAAGAACTTATAATAAAACAAATGCACCAAAAAGAAGTAAAAACTAATCGCTTTTTAGATTTAGAAAAGGACAGAGAAGAATTCCATAGGGACACGCGTCTATCGCTTTACGGGAAAGTTGAGAAAATTTTTGATGGGTAAGTTGTTATGTTGGTTTGAAATTAAAGTAAAATAGATATCAAAAATGAAAACAAAAACATAAAAAATACGATAACTATTTTAAAATGCTTTACTTGTGCTTGCTTTATTGATTTTTATCATAAGGTTTTATTAACAAACTCGTATATATGATTGTTTGACATTCAATAAATAAAATTATCAAACGCATAGTGTGTTTGGTTTGTCTTATAGATACAGAAAAAAAATTGCATTATACACTTCTTGTAAATATAAACTTTTACCCTATTATTTGGCGCATTTTTAGTAAAAAAGAGTGCTTATTTTTACTTCATGTAGTTATACAACGATTATTGTAGCGTCTATAGTTTATTCGATCAACAGGTTTAGATGGAACGGTAGGGAATGCGTACTGCGCCTGTTGTGTGAGACAAGGAGAAGCCGAGGACAGGGAACCTTCTTGGAGGAGATCCTGAAGGCGACATTTACGTAAGTACCTGTCAAATAACGATATAAGGTTTGATTTTGTTCTGAATATCCATAACAACATGTCACAAGTAAAATATGTGTTGTTTTTATTGCCGAGAAGAAATATTTGAAAATACTATATGGGAATGAATATTTTTAAAGCACTATTTCATAAAAATAAAAAATAACGGAAAATATTTAAAATTACTTGCTTATCCGTCTCTGAGTGGAGTTTCAAAAATAATTCATTAGAAAGTGGAGCTAGTTACAACGTTGAAAAAGAGAAAATCAAACTATTTTGAGCATTTATACAAAAAATCCCTTTATTATTTATGCGAAAATTACTCTTGGCATTTGTCACGTTTTCACGCCTAAACCAAAGAACTGACCATTTGTAATGAAATGTGGTAAAGAAATAAAGTTGACTTTGGCAGGGCATTACCTTTTTGTGAAAAAATGCATTGAAAGTGTTGAAATCGTAAATGAAAATTTGGATGTTTTATCATTGATAAACTCGCAGGTTAATTATTATTCTTAGTTATTAGCAACAAATAAAAATTAGTAATACTTATTGATTTCTTATATTTTCACACGCACTATTTATAAATGAAACAACGTTTAAACGGTTGCAAAAATTGAATACAAACGCGTATTCAATTTTAGACGCTTCGGATGCTTTACAGGGTCTTAGATTTATAACTGAAGGGATGGAAAAATGTGGTCGTAGTAAGAAAACTACATTTTTGGATTAGGAAATTAAGAACTAACTTAAAAGTGCAAAGAATTGCTGAGTAGATAGACACTGCAGAAATATGTCCATTTAAAAAAACAAAAATGAAAGCCATACCCTTTTCAGATGTTAACTTTCTCGAGTGATATAAATTTTCAGAGGAAATTCACCGGCATAACTTATTCCAGGTTGCCTAAAGGTCGCGAGTTCGCGTCCTTAGCGCATAAGGAGTACGATATCGCCCACGGGACTGACGGCGACTGCACTCAAATGTACCCCAACTGTAAAATCTATTCAGACAAATAAAAGTCTATTTCAGCTTTTCTAATATATCGTTTTATTTTATAGCCCGTAGAGAAATAAATGCAATAATGTAATTTACACAGTGAAAAAAAAATAAAGGTTACATAACGGCTAATCAAAAGAACCTAAGTTCCCAGGGACATCAAATATTTTCTGATAGACAAATGTGTTAGATAAGGTAGTGGTAGTATAGGTTTATTGTGTCTATATTCTAGCTAAGCTCACTGGCCAATTTAGATTAAGAAATCATTACTCATATTTTTTAAATTCTGATAGATGTTTCCTTAATTTGGTAATGGTATGATTTTTAAAATTGTCATAACTTCTGTAATAGAGCAATTACATAAACCATATAGACGAAACAATCTAGAAATAGTTTTATTTCATTGGACTGGCTTGATTATTAACTTTAGGAGTATTTGTATTTACACGTGGCCAATGCTGGCCTGGCTTATTGGTCTGTCTCGGCTACTGGCCTCGTGTAAATGATCCATTAGGTCCGAGTTTCTTTCACTGATTCTTCTTACCTACTAAAATATATCCCGAGTAAATGGAAAGTTAAAAATATTGAGTAGCTCGGTGGCGTAGTTGATAAGCGCCGTGGCGAACGCGATCATTGTCGTTAAGCAACTTTTGCAAGAGTCGGTCACGGGGTGGGTGACCAAAAAATGATTATCTCGAGCTACTCCGTGCTTTGGAAGGCACGTTAAGCCGTTGGTCCCGGCTGCATTTGTAGTCATTAGTACCTGCCAATCCGCATTGGACCAGCGTGGAAGGTCATGGCCCATACTCCTTAACCTACATAAGGAAGGCCTGAGCCACTGCAGTAGGAACGAAATAAAGGGCTGATGATAATGATGAAAAATTATTGGACGATTCAAAAGTACATTCAATGGTTTATTTAATATTTTTTATTTGAGTTTAGAGTTTATTTTAGTTAATATTATCAAGAATACTAGAGTTCTATATTTGCAATGTCAGTTATTTTTTCAGTCATAAAATGGCTAAAGACAAATCTCAGCAAACGTATACACGTTTCCATAATCTGGTGACGGTCTCAAAACTATTTTAACGAATTTAAAATGTTGATATAATATTTATCAGGATAAGAGTCTATCTTCATAATGGCAGACATTTTCTCCTGTCACAACATGGTGGCTAGCATACTTATACCTTTGCTTAACTATGTAAATACAATTGTCTATACTAGTCTCATCTATAAAATATCGTTTTCCTATTTTAAAATGTTAACATGTTTATCCAAGCTAATATTATAAAGAGGTACATTATTTAATTTTGTTTGTTAGAGGTCAATCTTTAGAAACACTGATCCGATCACGAAAATTCTTTCACCAACTGGAATCTACATCATAAGCGGCTACTAAGTTTATAATTTACGCGAGAAAAGTCATGAAAAAACAGCTAGCTATTGATATTTCTTTATCGTGAATGTTTGAGCACATTAAGAAACTTTCAACCACATACTCTAATTAGAGCAAATCAAGTCTCGATAGAAATCTCAGAATTTAACAATTATGAATAATGTTGAGCCGATGTGATTGTTTCAAGTGATTTTGAACTCAATATTGATGGTTTAAGGTTGTTTATTGTTGTTTATCGGTAGCAAGCGTGACTGGACTAAAAGGAGGAAGCGTCAAGCGCGGTCTAACTTTTAAATCAAACATCCCAGGTCACTGAACACTCGCTGTTCTGTTAGCTTATCTTAAAGAGTACAATCACAAGAACATCAACATTTCCTTAAAATACAATTTATATATTATAATTTAGACGTCTGTGGCCGTGTGGCTTGCATTCCAATTATAAGATATCATCATCTCTGAGGTCCTGAATTCAATGTACTGAAAATTAACTTGTCTATATTGTTGCGAGTATAGGTGTTGTATTACCTTCATTGTTCAGATTTCCATGATACAAATACTTTTACTTCTTAGTTTCAAATCTCAGCAATATATGTATGTAATGTGGTCTAATATTAATTAAATACTTATTATTTATCACTACACGTGCCGTGAGTTGAAGTACATAATTGAAAAATAATATCGTCGTATAATAAATATATTTTGTATTATGCATCGATAAAAAATTATACATTTGCTTTTAGATAAGAGTTCATTTAAAGCGACGTGAAGTTTTGATTACAACAATTTGGAATAAGGAATTTGCTTTCTACAGCCATTACTACATTAACACTATCACTGCGATATCAAACTTTTCGGTAGTAGGAAAGTCCATTTGTATTAAAATTCCATCCAAAAAAGTTTAAACATTATCTATGGTTTAAAACCATTTGTCGTTTGTCATTGCTAAGAAAGTATTTGAATATATTAGGAACTCCTTTTGTGCGTCAAATTGATGTGTGAATAAGAAAACATAATATACAACACATGATGTGATAAGTGTTCAGAAGCTAACAACAAAACGTAACCGAACAGCGAAAATGTTAACCTTAAACTCACAGTTGATAGTATTTATCTCAAAAATAGTTTGAAGGAAAACTTTTGAAAAAATATTTTAGGTATAATATATTTTTTTAATAATTTAATAAGTAATTTAATTAAATAAAAATACAATAAATATTTTTAAAATTGGAAAAGATAAAAAAACAAGTCGATAGATTAAAAATGTAGAAAATTTCATGTAAGCTGTATCATATTCCACTTATATGGATATGCTTACATATTTAAAAAAAATTGACACTCGTTTCGTTGTTTGATATTATTAAATATTGAAAAAAAAAATAGTTTTGGAACAATTTTAGACTTAATATTTTAAAGAAATGACCATTCCAAAAATTTTTATAGTATTATTCACGTAGAAAGATAAAAAGTTGATTAATAATCGTTATTGATAATTAAATACATGAAGAAACAAAATATTCAACATGGTATACAAAGTCATAAGTCCATAGTTATCGATCTTATATTTGTTATTTGGTTAAGATTGGGCTAACATGAACATTAAGTTCAAAAGCCTATTAGAAATAAGAATAAAAAAATAAACAAAATAGGGAATTGATTTTAAATTGTTCCTTATCATTGAAGCAATAAAGTGAGTAGGAAAGGGTTAATATTTGTCGAGACATCACATGACAATAAACCTCAGAACACATTTCCAAGTGTCAGTGGCATGCAATACAAGCCTGTTATCGCTTTAATATAAGCTATGCAACGACTGGTAATATTATTTTTATTTACAATTCTAGTAATCAAAGGTGAATTTAATAAGGAAAACTGTCCGAATGTAAAAACTCCTTTGGATTTAGTTAGGAAGAGGCGCCATCTTGTGTTTCCTGACGGATCTGACATAGTGGTAAGTTGTTTTTTTTTTAATTTTAATCCATAATCACATACATTGTTGATATTTAAATTTAAGTATTTAACGCTGTTGCATTTGAAATCTGTAAAAATACTATAAGCACTTAAACCTGAGCACAAAACACTTTCATTGATAGAAAAGTTCGTTTATTATATAAACTCTAGACCACGAGTTTTACTTAATAATAAATCAAATGATATAGAAACCAATCAGTATGTAATCCAATATTAATATAACTTGACGACGTCCACAGCTAATTGTTTAATTGGATTATATTTGTTACTTTTGACAAATGAAATGATTTAACATTTTATTATTGTATTTATATGAATATATTTTTTTATTTTTTAGTTGAAATAGGAGAATTAATTACAAGTACAATATCGTAAAGATTATTTAACGACAAACCGGAATGAATTATCTATGGACATTCTCACGTAATATCATTTAAATCCTCATTCGTTATGAAAGCAATTGTGACTTTTAAAGTTACACAATTCTATAAATCACTATCACAATGTCCATTCGTTTGAAAATGATTGTGACAAATTTAGAAATTAGACAATTAAGCCACAGATTGTTAATAATCTAAACTGATTGATGGATATTAATTACCAACAGCTCACTGCATCTATAGTGAAAGCGATCATGACACATGCTCCTGCTGGTTGGAATATTGCTCTGGAGTTAGATGTACATTTCCCATTACCGAATGCTAATTTTACCATGCTCCAGTTAAGAAGGAAATTACACCATCGTCAGAAGAAAGACATATGGACGAAAATTGAAAATGCTCTCAATTAGTAAGTCTGATTTTATTTAAGTATACTACATATATTGATCCTTAGCCATAGGACGGTTAATAAAAATCAACAGTCAATAGTACAGTACTAATAGTGTCATCCGTCCGGCGAGCTAATTGCTGGATCTCGAAAAGTCGAAAAAAGTAGTTATACTGGCTGCAAGTGTTCTCCACGTGCAATAATAATGTTCTGCATCCTTTGTAAAGATTTCATTCACTATTTATGTGGCCTTTATTGATCAACGAAAACGCTTTTTCGTTGTTATTTTTATAGTCAAATTACTATTAACGCGGCTGTTAAGCGCACAAATGACCCGTGCACCTGATCTGTGAGAATCTGTATACCAATTATAATGTGCGGTACATAAGTGAACCAAAATGATGATTTCCCGCGCAGTTTCCTAAGGTAAATAATTGCGATGTCTGGGTAACCTGGGATTTCCTTGCCAGATACCAGGTCCCAGACCTTTTTGAGGGTAATACGGGGGGTTTTACACGGTAGGCCTGCTGTAGATAGGGGTTCTTTAACCTCCGTCAGTTCCCCTCGGTACAAAAAAAAAGGTAAATAATTGCGATGCTCCTTCTGTGATAATAGAGGTCTGTGATCCTTGATCAAAAAGTGCCCGGAGGTTGCGGCGTGCACCTTGAGCATTGCTGTGAATATTTCAGGGGCATCACTTTGTTGAGACACGTGCTTAATGTTCTGATTTTGTTGCAATAGCGATTTTCCGATCCCTGGTTTACTTCGTTGCTATCGTTGCATGCTGCTTCTCACCCCACGCACTTTAAAATCTAAAAACGAGCTACAGCGTAGCCATTTTAGTTTGATTTTGATTACGCTCATTTTATTAGACACCCCCACTAGCGCGTGTTGAAATCCTCGTTTGACTTGCTGTAAGCTCGGTTAGGATTAAAATGTTGCAATAAAAATACTCGAAACTCTTGACAAACATGACTATGAAAAAAACCATCCATGATCGAACACTGTCAAAATATTTTTTTATTTTATCAAAGAATAAATTCCAATACATTTTTTTCATTAAGCAACATGTGTTTATTTTCCAGTCACAATCTGGACGGTCGAACGTGTGTTCTCAGAAGCATATGCGAAGCCAAGGTCTACCTTGCGCCTCCGGGGAAATCACTGGTTCATGACATATTAAGAGCCATACTTACGTGAGTATCTCGTTTTTCTGAACGTCATGTGAACTTACAGCGGAGGTTAATCACACACCGTCTAACACTGAAAGGAAAATTAGATGCAATATAAAAAATAGATATTCGAGACTGTACGTTCCGACAGACATCCACATTTACAATAAGTTTCAGGCTTTCCTTATGGATGGTTATATTACTATATAACTCTGATTTCAACTTTAATTGGAAATATCATATCGAAAATATAGATAATAAATTTAAAGCTATAATATCAAAATCTTCGATACTAAATATAAAGTACGAGTACCTTTTGCTTTCTTACTGCAATTATATAAAATACTAGCAAACAGTATTGTGTCATATGGATTCACCACACATGGATGCACATTTACATCATATTTTAAACTATAAACCGAAGAACATAAAAAAAAATAATGAAGTTAACTTACTTTATTACTTTGGTCATACAAGTGCATGAAAAATTAAAATATCTATTACTTACAGACAACTATTTCAATTTCAGAAAAACTTTCGTCGAACATAAAACACATACTAGGCATTATTACAAACAGAAAAATGAAATCGAAACTTTTTAGGCAATTATTATGGAGAAAGAACAGCTGAATATATAATACCGAGATTAATTAACGATCTACCATTACAAAAAATAAAAAAAATTATATCAAACACCAAAACTTAAAAATGAAATTAAAAAAGTATTTTATGTCTGTTCAGGCGCGTGTGAAAAACAATCTGTATAAACAGTAGGTGGTACATAATATAAAATTAGTTATAAGACGGAAAAGAAGATGGTGGTGACTATAACTCTATATAACGTACAGGTACGTTGTCTGCACACCAAACCGATTGGCTAACAGCAACAGCAACTCGCACATGAGTTTGATAAAACCTATTTCCGTTATACAGGTATAATATGCAGGTATAATTAATAATAATTATAGGTACCTATATTTTAATATATCTAAGGGGCTGTCCATTAATCACGTGATTTCTTTTCAACTTTTTTGACCTTTGGTGATACATGGTGAGGTTTAAGACTACCCCCCACTCCCTCCCCTACACCCAAATCACGTATATTTTTTACTACCATCAAAAAATCTAAATTTTTGACGTCGCTTTTCGGTTTAATAATCGCGTGTCGAGGAAAAAATAAATATACATGATATATTACTACACCCCCCACTGCCTTTGTTATATTTCGTAATTTTTGACGAACTTCCTCCCCCCTTTCGAGCCTCACGTGATAAATGGACGGCCACCATTCTATTCGTGTCTATATGTATTAGTAATTTTGATTTTGCTATACTTTAGCATCGTGTTGTTTTTTCAAATAATATAAAAATGTGGTTATATATGTTTTCCTGTATACTAAAATACATATATTAGATTTAGTCCTGTTTTAGTGTTTGAGTATAATATGCTGATAGCGCAGCATGGCGATATTGTGTGTTATTAAATTAATATGGTCTGTCACGAAAATTTTAGTACTATTTATTTAATCGTAGGTATAATTTAATATTAAAAGTATTTTATATTTCAAATTATATATAATGAAAGTGTGAGCACTCTTTATTTATATATAACCACAATAAACCTAACTAGGTTTATGGGTGTAAATAATATCTTATTTAAGTTTTTATTTTATCTTTTATTAAGTCACAATGATGATTGCTAAAACATCAAAATAATGATATAATAGAAACAAAATAATAGACATGTCTCGGGTATCTCGATGGTTAGAGCAGTGACCCGGATTGCGAAAAGTTAAGGGTTTAAATTTCATCTTTAGACACCTGGGACTAGTATTTTTTTTAATAGTTTTTTTTCTCTCACAACTGAAAACACAGTTTGACAAGACTTTTAAGAAGAGAAATATGTTACTTCATTTGATTGTATTCGGCATGAATACATGTTTTTCAAATGTATTCATGCCGAATGATTTTCAATTAGTAACGGAACCAAATGATATTTCATTTGGTTCCGTGTACTGAGCACTAATTGAAAACCAAAAATAACTGCCATCGCACAATACATTTGTTCTATCTCTGAGTTTCCGCTAATTGGCGTGTAATCCTTGTACGTGATGTCTCTTCGTACGTGGTCGGATTATTCGATAATATAATTTTCCACGATACATACGCAATGTATCAACTATCAATTTCTGTACAAGATCAATACAATATACGAGTCTGTTGTTAGAATAAGAAGTTATGATATTCAATGAACGAAATTAAAGTGACAAGCAATAGTTCAACGTTACTTAGAAAAACATTGATGTCTTCTTATATCTTAAATAACAAGTTGAAATATATATATAAGATAATGTATAATATAATAAAAAAAATGTAATATAATTATAATACTCGAAATATATTTTAATGTAAATTAATTGATAAGCTCTTCTTACACCCGTTCTTCTTGAGAGCTAAAAGACATCGGAGCTTTATATTTTTGATTTATTCATTTCAAATATCCATGTTCAATATGTCTATTACTTTTCTTATATGAAAATTTCTCCTTATTTGTTGTTTGATTATGATAAATTTTATAAGTTAGAAAGCATTAGAATAATAATTTAAAACCGGCTTGCGTTGGATTGTCTATCACTGTTTTTATTAATTTATTCATAAATCCAGCATTAACCAAGTGAACACGTCCAATATATTCGATCAGTCATTGAGGGGATATTTTTCCCAAACTGGTTTTCGTAGCAGGTCGCCAACATGTTCTGATATTATACGGTTACTAAGGAAAACAACGAAATACACTATCACATCCGAATTGTTTTGGTTTTTACTAAAGTTCTAAAATTATGAATGACATTAAAATTGAGAATTTTGAATATAAATTTCAGTTTCTTTTGTAGGTTACCAAGAAAAAGGTTTCTATTAAAATTACCTTCCTACAAAAATGGGTAAATTACAAAGTATAGTTAAATGGTTATGTCCGAAGGAAATAGAACCAAAAGCAATTTGATTATAAAAGTGCAGTGGGGAGTACTACGCTCTATGCATCACAGAAACACCTCCCGTGTCGACTCCCCAAAGCGTATGATTTATTATACAAAACTGGGGTTTCATATGAAATACGATGCAAAAGTGCTTTCATATGTTTCAATGAAGTGTATTTCCGTTGCAAAGTACGTAGTTTTGGAACGTAAAAAATATAACTTAAAAGATCATAGAGTTTCTATTATAAAGGATAAACATTGCAAGCTTTGTAGTTTTCTAAAAGATGTCTAAACTACTGTTACGCATATTAATTATCTTGTCGTAATATTGAAATATTAGTTGATTAATTTTTTGATCAGTGTTTTATTAGTTTTATTTTATAAGAAGAAAAACATGAAGACAATTTCTATGACTTGTAGCGGTCCAGTTATCTGTGAGCCTTTGGTGTGTTCGTCTAGTAACCAGTACTTATTGACAATTTTGTACAAAAAAAGTTTCATATAAAATGTTGCCAAGCCGAGAACATATGACTCGTACTGTAAAAAAGTTAATCGCTATATCAAAAAGCTACGGAATATTCATTTTTATGATTCCTTTCCAAGGTTGTACCCGACAGCATTATACATTTATACTAATATTACTAGATGAAATGTAAAGGTAGTGTTATATGGTTAAATCCATGCTTAAATTTCCACCTTCTATAAATAGAAAATAATTATAAAAAGGAAAGGGTGAAATACTTAGTAATTTTAATAAACAGTTTAGTTATGTACTTTTAAGTGATCCGTTGTTGGTATGATGATAACAGTATAACACATTATAACCCTGTTGCTATGGTACGACAATTACGACTTTAAAGAGTTAAAACTTATGAAGTCATAAGTCTTGATTTTTATATACTTGTTCATTCAAGATATAAAATATTCATCAGTGAATGATTATAATATTTTAATTCCATCTTTACTGAAAGCACAAACAAGGTTTTATAAGGGAATAAATCACATATATTTGGCTTAGATAACACATTAAGCGACCAAAGCTTTTGAATTCTGGTATCAAAAACACCCAGACCCAAGCCAATACATAAAAGATCATTTCTATATTGACCTGACCGAAAATAGAATCTGGGACCTCCAAGATGGCGTCTGAGTCACTCGGACAGGTATACAAATTTATTTACCTTCCGATATTTCATGGTCAATAAAATGGTGTTAAGCCTTTGGTCTTGGTAGATTTTCATATTTTGTTTTTACTTTACAGAGTGCCAGAATTTGACAGTGAATTTGCAGAAGAAATAAAAGGGTCTTATGATGAGCTGCTGACACCAGATTATTGTGAACAATTGAGTAATTGTCCATTTTCATTGTCTCATTTTTTGATACCACAAGGAATGCCATGAGCAACCAGCTAATATTAAACGTATATTTTAATGGTTATAAATAAGTGTGTACTTGCATTTGAAGAAAAAAAATCTTTCAAAAGTCATGACTGCATTGTGCTAGCTAAATTGTAAGCATAAAATATTTTTTATTATCCAAAAATTTGAGTTGGCGTTAGTTACGACTTTGATACCAATAGACAAAATAAATGTTACTTTTAATATTTTTATTTTATTTTATATTGGACTTTTACCATGACTTTGCCCACGTAAATTAAAGCCTGAAATGACATAGCTTCTCGCAGGTGAAAGAATTTTCATGATTGGAACAGTATTTCCGATGATTAGTCTCTACAAATAAATAAACTTTACCTCATTATGATATTAGTATATATCAGTGTACTGTCAGAGGCTATATAAATATATAAAAGCATAAAAAATTAGAATAGAGTTTCATATAAATAAAGTTATAAAGAAGATGTCACAATACGTGCACGTTCGGTCTATGATGCTGCCAATCTAAGGATAGCTGATTCAAAAGTCTACACTGGACTCTCGTGGTGCATTGTGGTCAATTCCGATTCGCTTTCATTCATAGAGAAGGCATGTTTAGCAGTGGTCACATTAATTGATCATCTGATAAATGGTTTAAAACAATGCATTTTAAAAAGTATAATTAGGTACACGAAAAAATAGAAAAATTTTGAAATTCTAGGGTCGGGAAAATTTGATAAATTAAAGTTTACGTAGTGACAGAACTCTCATAAATTCTCAGTTGTCTCATTCTTTACTTCAATAAAGTGTACACACCTTCTTAAAAACACAACTTAAATTAAATATAAGATACAATATCAAAAAATAAAGTTTTCTTTTCACTAGCTATATCGTCGAAAATTTTCAGCCATCTCGTGAAGGACAACGTAAAACTCGAGGAAACTTCAAATCTGGTATTCAAGAGCTTCCAAACTCCACTCTGTATAATGGTAGCGAATACTTTACCATCTCTTTCGTATATTTGGGGGCAGAATGCGACAGTCTCATAAATACAGACATGATTTGTCCGTACGCGTATCGAGAGTAATGGTAGTCACATTTTTGGGCGATTCTAACTCGTATAATGGAATGACTGCGATCAGTCACGGTAGAGGCATGGGACCATCGCCAATATGTAGGACGTTTGTCACGTTTATGACTTACGCATCTATTTTATGCCATAAAAACTTAAATTTAATAAGTTAATATTTATTTAATGGTATCAATTGTTCCTTTAGGAAACCCATTGGAATAACTGTAGGTCTACATATATTTAGTAATACACATCGCAATTAGATGAGCATATCAAGGGGAAGACGTAAAGGACGCAATCAATGCAGTGGAGGAATAATTTAAAATTTACTGTGACATCACATAGCTTGATATTAGAGGATACTCAATATTCTTTTATCGATACCTCATTTGTCAAAATATGATAAGTAGTTAAAGTATGATAACAGAATGACATACACCTACAAATAGGATGCATTAGCGTTGCTGTAGATGTAATTGAGTAAAATGGATATGAAAACAAAATCGTTTCTAGTAGCGGAAAACTCCGTATTCAACGATGTGTCGCGGCATTAGCCATCCGAAGCTATAACCCAATTTGTTGATGATGGAGTGAGGCACTTTGGCTCGTTATTTTTTACTGAATCAAAGTCCTATCCAATAAATCGTTACGAAAAGCTTTCACGGCGTTTCTGCTTCAATTAATGTCTGATCCAAAATCCGACGATGTAGCGCATTATTCTTTTATATTCAACGTTCTACGTAATTCACGCGTCAATTTTTGTGTCTTATATGTTTAGATAATGAAGGTGCGAACGAGCTGCTGATATTTCTCGCCTACGTGACGATTCTTTTTTATAATGAAGGAATTTAAAATAAATAGCTCTATCTGGGGGAATTTCACTCTTCCATTACTACACACATACAAAATATTAAGAACAATCGAGTTGAACAACGCAGAGACATCAGTCCAGGTTGCCCATCAGTCCAGTCACTGAAAATAAAATACAATTTTGCAATGTGGCATTTAAAATATACATTTGGTTTTAGGTAATACATATATACCTTCCACTTCTTCGGTTCTCTTTATAAAGTTAACCCTTTGTGGGGAGTTGATTTTATTTTAAAGGTGCCTTCTTGGCGGAGAATAAGCTTTTTCGTTTAAAATTATTCAGGATTATATAATCAAACATTGATACATGCTAACGAATAAATTAAACAGTATTAGTTAAAAATACTTTATAGAACCAAAGTTCCTTAATATTAGTCAATCTATTACTAAAATATTACTTTTTGTAAAAAACGATTTTTACACTAATAAGGTGCGGCCGGAAGTAACTGGACTACTACTATGGGTCGGTGCAAATCTCACGGATAATCCATCAATAGTCTCCCAAAGATTGCATTAGCACACGCGACACGGATTAGCCGTCGACTGCAGAAGTTTAAATGTTGTATCCATATTTTATCAGTTGTGAATTTCTACGACCAGACGATAGGCAGCGAAACTTTCAACAGAAATACACTGTTATGATCCTAAATATGATAGAATGCTAAGTTGGTTCTCGTTTGCAAATATCTATATTTCATGATATTTCATTGACAAATAGCGGTGCAGTGAAATGACTAATTTAATTTGAAGTTTCTTAAATTTTTTAACACTCATTCTTCATCACCTGTGTAAAAATTGATATACGTATCCAGCTATTTGATAGAAATGTAATTGATAGACAAACCAAAATACATGAAAATATTAATAATTAACCGCACTCCGGTAACTGCAAAAAAATCTTTGTCTTAAAGGAGAATGGGCAGAAATCGGCTGAAATTACGCAAAATTGCGCACTACGCATTTATTTATCAAAAATATTCTCTTTAATCATAATTTATTCTATATAAATGCTATTTTAAAATTATGCAGTATTTAAAATTAACTCTATTAAAACAATTGCTAAATATCTACTTCTATATAACTACGTGCGAACTTCCTACTACTAATTTTACAAAATAAAGTATTTTAACTCGGATAATGTAGGTCAGGAATTATATTGTTCAAAGATTTTTTTAAATCGGCCCAGTAGTTTTTGAGTTTATCCTTTAGAATAAAAAATCAAAGCTTTCCTTTTTATAATATAAGAATATATTTTTTCGCAATTAAATATGTGTATCTGTTAGTCATCAATTATTTGAAATACATAATTCATTTTATTGCTCTTATGTAGATATTATAGCGACATAACCTCAAAATCCCTGTTAAATACTCCGGCATAAATTTAAAATGATTTTTTTCCTACTCATTCTAGAAATAATTCTCTATCGTTTGCCTTTTAGTTAGTTTCAACAGGGTGCACAGTTATGCAAAAATAGCCGAACTCTCATAGTAAATTGCTCATTCTCCTTTAATCATAGTAAAGTAAATTATTATTGACATCCAATATTTGGAAGTTTGTAGTGACCTTAAGTTCTCGTAATGAATTGTACACAATATGTCGAGTTTGAGATTCAGCCGTTTTAGCATATAGCATAACTGTGTCAGTTAAAATTACTAACATCGACATGAAAATTGCTAGTTCCGTTACACAAAATGACACACATTTTGCATCTGCTAATGTTTCATATATTGTACAGCCTCGGTACGGTAAAATACTAGAAATGGTTTGTGAATTTAAGTTTTGGATTTTATTGTTAGTAACAATCAATGGAGTTTTGAATTTTGATGATGAAATAGAGATTAACAAAGGCAAGGCAAGAGTACTATCGAGGAGAAAGCGGTATGTGACGTTTCCTGAAGGCTCCAGTTTTTCGGTAAGATTGCTAGTTCTGTTATTTAGAAAATTGTTAATAAGACTATTTCATTTTATGAGCTGTTATAAAATACAATATCTAGAACTCAATGTTGCAGTGATAAAAGTCTACTTGCGTTATGCATGTGAAGGCCGGATTTTTGTCAATAGTGAATTGTTTTTTGTGGTTCTTTTTTGTTTGAATGGGAATAATCTCGTAGGGGTCATAATAATGTAAGAAATTGGAATTATTAATTCTTAATCTTGTCTGCCACTGAAAATTTTAGATAGAAATATGCTAATTTTTCATAAACTTACACCGACTTAACAAATAAGATAAACAAGTCTCTACATCTATAAAGGGGGTCAATAAACCAAGAAACTTTATTTTAAGTAATCAAATGCTTATTCTAAGTCAAATAAGTGTTTTATGTTTTATGTGTTTTTTTTTGGACTGTTCATAGGCAAGTAATTAAGACTCGATCGTAGAATTATTACAAGACTGTTACTTGATCAAATTGTACTTACTGATCTCATTCAAAGTCGACATCAAAAATGCTTTAGCTATTGAAGTCAGTAAAATAAATAAATGAAAACATATTAGCCTCCTAATGTATAAAATTTATCTAAACTTTTAGGCGTATGAAACTGTAATTATTATTTGAAAAAGTACGCTTAATTTTCTGTGTCACATAAATGTTAATTAGAAGTCATTTAGTATAAATAAACCGAGATATGCTGACCATATTTATGTAAGCTTTCACTTTAAACGTAGTTTGAAATGGGTCTCGCAGTGAATCAGTATTTTTTTAGTTCTCGTGTTTTAATATTTGCGAAACTATTTTTAATTTATGAAAGTGAAATTTTTGAATCAAAATGTACTAGAAGCACTTGTTGTATTTAAGTGAAGAACTTTAAGTGGAATATTATTAATCCAATATATAGGAGATTGATCTAAATAAGAACATGCCAAAATGCTCTACCAAATCTTTGAACACAGTCGAAGAACGGTCATTGTGAAAATTGCTCAACTTCCACAATTGTAGAATTGTAAACGTTCCAATTACAACGCTGTTAAGTTTTACGATAAAGTACTCCAATTTCAGTGTGCTGGCTGCATGACAGTAGGCTTGATAGGCCAACCAGCGCCAGCGACTGTTCCGGGAACTTTCACATTTGGTCTGAATTGGGGTATTGCGTATGAACTGCCAAATGCCACAGAAACCTTGGCATTGTATCATCAGAAATACAAGTTCAAGAAAGCGATGACGCAGAGGAGGAGCAGACGGGATCTCTACCAGAAGCTGGAAATTATACTGGAAAAGTAATTCTTACAAAAGCGTAAATCTTTACTATCAATATTTTGTAGGTTTCAATAGTGTTGAATATTGTTAAGTTATTAGCTGCATTTTCCAACTCTTATTTTTTTCTGCATTTTAAATGCCAGGAATTCATATCGAGCACAAGTACTGGAGATCTTGCATTTTTTTTTCTCAATAAATAAATATATCCATGAATTAATGACGATACTTTGCAAATATCATTCCGATTTTTTTTTTTCGAGTTTGATTTTAGTAATGTAAACAAATGTCGTGTAAAGTAGATATTATGAATAACTATCATTGACTTTATGAGTTGAAACTAGAATTATCGAATTTTGATGAAATTTTTATGTAGTTATTGTAAATCAACAAATATATGACTAACTTTTTTAACTTGACAACATCTACTTCATATTATACTTTTTACAATCTAAGAGTTCATTTCAATTCAAAAGTATTTCACTTATAGTCATATTCACTCTATTGACGTTCCCACTGCTGGGGTACAAACCATCCCTATAGATAAAATCAATCAAACAGGAAGAACAGACTGAAATCCATCACGACGGCTCAGTGTGGATTAGTGGATGTTCATTTTAATAAACAGATATGTTCATTCATTTTCAGTATCGGATACAAGGGCAGGGATTGCATACTGAAAACGTTATGTGAGACCAAACATCGTATCGTACCCAATGGAGGCAATATGATTGAAGAGATGTTTAGAACCATATTCACGTAAGTTTACATATTTGAGCAATTTTGTATTCACAATGCGCTTATCATAAAGAAAAATACTTAAATAGTTCGACAGTCTTAGGAAAGTTTTTGATTGCGATGGTGACTGCTCTAATTGAAGTACCTAAGACCGCGAGAAGACTTTCAAACTTTGGAAGCACTTATTCAATTTTCTCAGTATTTTCGTCAACGTTCCAACAATATTTTTCCGATTCTCATATAAATTGAATGAAAAATGATGCAAAATGGTGATCATTTTGCATCATTTTTCATGGTGATCATTCTGCAGGGTTCAGATCCCGTCTCGAGCACCTGGGATCATTCAAAATAACCTAACTGCTATAGTACTTATTAAGTTACAGCAGTGTTAATGTTAAAAATATATTTCTTTTCAGTTTGCCGATAACGAAAGTACTTCCAGTGGAACCTTTAGAGCATACAATATATGACTCTGCACATCGACTAAGCAATACACTCGACGACTGTGACAGTTACAATTGTCCGATATCTCTAGTAGATTGGGCTCAGGGATATTACAACGCACCTGCACCGCAAGTGGACGTGTCAAAACAACCCTGGGCGTTATTCAGCAGTAATTTTGGTTAAAGCAAACAATAAACATTTGAGAGTCCTTTCCTTCCACGTGGACTTGCGCCAACGTTTATTTTCTTCGCGCACATCATTACTAAGCACGCATATGCTCACTAGGTAAATGTGCACTATCTCTAGGATCGCATGCGCGCGCTTTATCTGTCCATATTATTGTCCTAGCCATATATACTATAATCATAATCAACAATGCTTCACATTATGTTATTGCGAATTGGTAAACTGAAGCTTTCAAACGATATTGTTTCTTCTATAAAAAATATGAGGATCTTCTCTGCTTGTCCTATAAGAGAAGCTTGGTGGCGTAGTAAATGAGCACTGCGGATCACGACAGGTGTAAACGCCTTTCGTAAGAGTCGGTCACGGGATGGGTGAGAAAAAATTTTTACCTCGAGCTACTCCGTGCTTCACGTGCCTTACGTTAAGCCGTTGGTTTCGGCTGCATTTGCACTAGTTAATACACTCCAATCAGCATTGGATCAGCGTGGAGGGTGGCCCATCCTCCTTCATCATCCATAAAGAAATGCCTGTGTCTCTGCACTAGGTATGTAAAAGGCCTGATAACGATGACCATGTTTTTCCACAAGCAATATTTCGAAAAAGCTTAAGTCCTTGAAATCGTAACAGTTATTTATTTATATAAATCATTATCTATCCAACAGCAACAGGTTTCCTCTATTGCATCATAAATTATCCAACATTGCATTCCCCTCTTCATAAAAGCGTTTAGAAAATAAACAAAATTTCGTTATCGAAGAAACAGAGTAGGCTTTCTGATTAACACAGAAGAATTGAGAATGTTGAAAATAAAACAAACTTATTTTTTATAATTAACGCATAACATTTAATATTTATAGTTCATATTTATAATACATTTTAATATTAGCAGTAAGAATCATGAGTGTATCCATAGTACGTGAGTGCTTGATTATGATTTTTAATTAACTATAACATTACAAAATGGTACTTAGTGAATACCATATACGCTAAATTATTATATAATCTCGCATTCCTTATAACTTATCATCCATTTTTTAACTAATTATTTATAATAATTGCTTACAACTACGTATTTCATATACAATGTCATAAATTTCCTTTATGTTATTGAGCTATTACGACTTAGAAGTTATTATACGAACATTATTAGATTTATTCATATAATTATATATATATATATATTTATATATAGTAGCGTAGTGCGTTAACCTTAAATTTATCAGTGGCAATGATCTTAATTTGTGATACATCTTCGTTCATTATCCAATCTATTCTAAGACTATAAGTAGTACTGAATTAATTTTCATAGGAATCTATTATTGTATTATGTTAACTTTAAGTATCTTATTTATTAAAGTAAATTAGGAATTCACTCGATTGTATCTATAATATTAACTATATTTGTAACATTACTGTGGTGTTCGTTTGCTTTACGCCATTTTCACGTAATCGATTGGTCGTGTAGAAATTAAAGATTCATTTTGAATTAATAGACATTGTAATTTTTTATTTTTTATTTAGTACTAATTGCGTAAATTTTGCGTCTGCCTGAGTGTATTAATCATAATTATATTATAAATGCGGAGGTTATTTTGTCTATGGTGTCGCTTATGCTTTCACTTCAAATCTAACGAAAAAAAAAATATTGAAATTTGTTACAGCGATAGCGTAAATTTATATCAAAGGAAAGGACATTAAAGTTTTTATCGCAAAAAAATTGAAGCCGCTGGCGAGAAGCTAGTATAAAGTACTTAAATTAAAGAAGTATAACTTATAAATGCCAAAGTATAAAATCAATACTAGTAACACACTACGAAAAGGTGATATTAAATTACATGTGGATTTTTTTCTCCTTAAAAAATAATTTATACAATAATCATGGAAATTAATTCAAACCTTGTGTCAAGTTTCATTGAATGGCGCGTGATTATATATATACGATTATGATGTCTCCAAATTTGATATCAGTACAGTAACATTGAAACAGATAACGAAAGTATGAATAAAATAAATATTATTTCTATAATAACGCCAAAAAAACTTATTTTCTTCAATTACAAACAGCTATTTGTAATTTCATAATTAGTCGTTTTACGATAATATTTTGATAAATTTTACTGAAGAATGGTAACCGGATGCCGGAAAATCTTCAAACAGCAAAATGTCCACAAATAATGAAGACAATAGTATCTCTAAAAGAAATTTGAGTCAACACATCGTTGGATTTTATAGTCATTCTTTGTTCTAATAAATGATGCAATTATTAAAGGTTAGTCGTAAAGTAAAAATATTGTGCATGACAGGGATATGGAGACAAATTACTTCAGACTTCAGAGATAACTTTACAAAACCTTAATAAATATAAAGAAGTGTACTTATTTTTAATTAGAATTCACCTCTCGGTAGAATACCAATGCCAAGATTTTTTCATACGCGCCTTCTTACACCTTATTGTGGATGAAGATAAAATGTACAAACTGCCAAAGATAAAAAATATATGTATGTAAAGGACTGTGAATTTTGGATTTTAATTAAAAGAGTTATTATGCTATCAATTTGAATAATGAATATTTTGATTTGGCCGCTTAATTTAATTTGTTGATAGCAGTGTAGAATGAATAAGAGCTACTTTTTCAATTATTGCTCAACAATGATTAAGAATCCTCAATTTCTACATACAACCAACATTCGTTACTCGTGACTAGAAGGTGAAAATTAATATCATAAAAAACTAAAATCTTCATATTACTTACTAGACGAGCATATATATTAACATTTACGAGTATTTGAGACAAAATCTCCAAACATACATTCCATCCTTACCTAAAGTATGTATTACCAATAATAGAAAACATTGTTTTCAATAATTATAATATTCTTTGACACATACTAATATTATAGACCAGTTAAGATTGCTTTAACATCGAATCGTATAGGGGTTGCATAGTGATTTTTAATTTAGAACGGATTTATAACACAAATGTCTAGTAAACAAAGAGCAAGCAAAGAATCAGAGTTTCTTTTAATACCGTTCTGTTGTACGTAAAAAAAACATTACATGTACTGAAATTAGTTATTTTTTTTAATAACATGACTGTGATTTTGGACGTCTTAAATTGCATAGTATTTTTATTAGATGTTTGTGATACTTTCCATGGTCGTTGCTCACTTAAATGTAAAAAAAATACAAATCATTGCTATTTATTTGTACTCTTGAAGTTGGGGATATATTCTTCTTAAAATGTGTATTGTATTTTATATAGAAAATAATCGATTTAAGCTAGCCCGTAGGGTTACAGATCATTTGTTATACCACCAATGGGTTACACTACATTCTTGCTAAGAATTATATTTGCAGACGTCAATTAAGTACAATAAGTAAGACAGATTTTCTAAACTCTTACCTACAAACATTGAAAATTCCTTCCATTAAAAATCAATAATTACTCTCTCTTACAAAATGTAAATTTTTGTGCATCTTACAAATATTTGAAAAACGTTATCTTCGTGGTAACGAAAGCTATAAACACCGAATATCAAACACACAACCCCTATATTTTAATGTAACAAATCTGAAATCTTTATCAAATCGAAATTACATCATAAAACTTAGATACTATTAAGATCAACAAAATAAGGCACACATAAACTTCAGAACAAAAACATCCATAAAAGATTAGAGCCCGACAGGAAATTCAATGCGACAGTATAACATAACAACAAACAATACGACTAGAGAAAGAAACCAATAACTGGTCTAGGTAAACAACGTAATAATACATTTTATACAAACAATTGTGAATACGATAATGCATCATATTACAAAAAGAAATTCATATCAAATCAGAGATATCATTTGTGTTTCAGTCGTTAAGCTTGTTTTCTATACAATATCATACGTTTGTCATGTAGATAAGGCTTCGTCAGACATAAAACATAGAGCAGAGAGATGGGCAAAATGTTATCATGATCAATAAATTAAATTTTGTAAAGATTATTGTGGATTGAAGATTATTTATTGTAATTGTTTGTTTCGATGATGAATTACTGAATTATTTTTTTTTCTTCACAAATAATATAAAAAGGTTTACTTCGACTAAACATAATTCAAAGGCAAGGTACAAACTTTCGAAATTGCACAGATCTGTCTGTGTGGGGTGATATTCTGAAGATGTTTTGCTATTCTGTAATATAATTATTGTCGGAAGCAACGTCGAGCACTACACTATCTTAGAGGTTCAATCAAACAAAATTGACTTTAAAGGGTAATAAAGGTTTTGTTAATTGAACTTTTATGATGCAAAAGTGCTTTTTTGTTCACGGAAACTATGACTATTGCAATGTTATTAATAAACAAGGTTTAGCGTTGAAGTAAAATTACGCTGAGACTGTACTTAGCATTAGCCAAAATTCATATTATTAAACAGAGTCGTAGCAAAGGTTAACTTAGTACGAGATTCTACGATAATAATATTTACTCCTAGAAGATAATTTTAAAATTCATTAAATTTTAGCGTAAATTTACTCTGACGCTAAACCTTGCTTATTATTAGCACTATTCATGTATAAATAACAAATTAATTTAAAAACGTATTATTCATGAAGAATGTTATTCAATTGAATCTTAGTTTTGGCCATATTTTTAATTTTTAATATTATAATAGTGTATAGAATACATCATATAGATACTACTACTTAGATTGCTTTTTTATGACGAAGCCTATATAATACGATCCAAGGTCATTACACAGTTACACGGTACAGTACCAACTTAGCTATTAGTTAGCTGGCTGTCAACTACAAGTTGTTAGTTAGTACCCCGTACGCTTTATGCGTTCTTACAGCCCGCCAAGAGCCAATTGCACCAACTGGCGCATCGTCGCCGATAGCAATAGCACAGAATTTACAATAGTTTTCAACTCGCGGTGTGGAAGCTTTCGCCTCGCGAGCAACGCGTGTTTAAGGTGCTCATTCACTGCCTCAGCACGCACGCACCAACCGCATGACACGCAACGCATTGAACGAATTTATCGTGATCTCTATGAAAAATGTAACTATCAATTTTGACGTCAGAATTATGCTGACATATGGACGTGCACCTTTAGTGCGCATGCAGTAAGCGGTAATAAAAATACAAGACAACGCCGAGTTGCTAGTGAGCCGTTTAAATGTAACATGACATTTAATTATAACGAACTATCAATTACTTATACAACTGATATCTCCGATTGTGAGACGTCAAATCGATCCAAAGCACACGTTAACATAAAACTATAATTATTAGTGAAAGAAGAGAATTACCGTAGTGAAAAAGTGGTTTTATTTTATTATGTATATACATCTAATCGTGTTGGAAGCTCAACGCAAATTTCGTGTGGTTCTAATACTTATTAGTACATATTTATTTATAAGTATATCGTACGAGTTACTATTATACCAACTTTGTTAACAGCAAAACTGTTAACATGAAAATAACATATTAGCAATATTACACAGATAAGCTAAATTAAATCTCATCGAAATGAAATCGAAAGAGTTTACGAAATTATAACTTACGTCACTTTGGAAGACGTTCGATTAAATATGCAAATACCCTTAACTTACGTAGATAATTTACTGTAGAGTACATTAACACCATAATGCAGGTATTATGGCATTTTACTTCACTAAAAAAGAATAATAAATCGTCAAACAAAACTTAGATGTGCGTCAAAGCAATTATCAAATATGTGTATAGATGAAAAATTACTAATCGAAATTCTAGATTTCGTCAAACCTAATTATAAAGCGTAATGGATTAATCTGTCAATACGTCTCCTTTAGAAATTAACTTTTAAACTTACACATACGTCCTTATTAAACTGAACACATTATTAAAATATATCGGATCAAATTAAATTCTTATTGCTGTTACATCAATACATAGAGATGAAATGAATTTATTATTTAAACCATTCATTGATATCCTATGACGCCCATTCACTACGTCACTACATTAGCACTAAATGTACATGAAACGAATGTAGAAAAATAACTTGTCAATTATAATATTATTACTTATGTTGATCATTTATATGTACATGTCAACATTGTTAAGTTGTATCCTTAAAATTACTGACAGCCATGTGATAGCTGACTATGAGTTTGCAGCCCCATGACACGATGTTAATAAATCTAATCGCATGTGTATCACTAACGGATCGGTTGTAAAGTAAAAGCACACAAGATTGCTAGAACAGTTTTCTCGGATATATAGAAACGCCTTAAAAATTCAATTATAACCAAAAAATTCAAAGCAAATGATAATGATATCAAAATATATTAAAAACGAAGTAATATAATTTAAAAAAATATTAGCCCTCTTAATGAAATAAAACTTTTTTTGAAGATTACCTATTAGAGCTATTGATATATTCTTTATTTTGAAGATAAGATAAAGAATAAATCAATAGCTCTTAACTTTATTTGAAATTATATATGAAAAGATAATTTATGAAAATCATAAAAGCCGGAAATTGAAAAAAGAAAATCTGGTTTAAATCAACTTCAGAGATCAGTCCTCAATTTCTTGGTTGAGAAGTTTGGATGAATCTTGATTGGATACACATTATCCGGAGGTGACTTGACATAGTGAGTTATACGACCATTTGAAAGGGATAGGATCGCATAGTAGATTAATGCTCCCAACTTCTCAGTAATTGAGAAAGGGCAACCTTGCAGTAATTTATCGTGTAGGTTATTTATTCTCATCCATGTATTATAACGTGTATCTAGACATAAAATTTTTATATAGTATACGGTTTTATAAAGCAAACACACGACAACAAATTTATATGACATCGCGTTTTCGAGCTGACCCATTCGTCGACTAACTCTAAAAAACACTGAGAAGCTAATTTATTACCACTTACATTCTAATTTAATATACCCATTTTAAATTACTTATTGACGAGTGTTCAACCTAGCTTTGAGTTATTGTTAAATTCATTACCTATCTACCGTCAAACATGACAAGTTTACTACTTTTGCTTACCCGTTTATCACCCGAAACATCAAACAATGAACCAGACGAAACATCTGGAATATTAACAATTACACCAAATAGAAACCACGAAACAGCAAGTTTTAATGAAAGATTATCCTTTGGGATTTAACCGAAAGATATTTTTAGTATAGAAATAAGTGTAATAGTCTTTGAGACTTCAACAATCATACAACCAAGATTTACGATCACAGAACGAAAAACACTGACGTCTAGGACCAGTTACCGATACGAGCGAAACCTTTGACCGGTTAAATCGAAGTTGCTTAGTTAAAATTTTGTTCATCCACACCACTAATGTTTAGGGTCATTAATCGTTGTATAGGCTTAGCTCATTCAGTTTCTGAACTCAGTACTTAAACAGTGTCTAGAAAATGCAACTCCTTGTGCAAATTAAAGATTTTTGTCTTCTTAGAAGAGTTGCAAATTATCAATTTTTAGGTAAGTAGAATTTTACTTAACTTTATTGCGCTCTCCAACACCGAAATTATTTACAATATGTTATTATCTTATTCCTTACATTCCATTCAGTATAATCTTTTACGTCAATAATACTCGTTCCTTAAACAATGTTTATCCTATGGTGTTTTAGAAAATCTATTATTAATTGCAGTCATATAAAAATAACAACAGACCGTTTATTTTCTAGCAAATATCTACAATAAAAGTTTGGATGATCACGGTACAATATGGAAAGCTTGCGGTCTTAACTAACCTTTAATGATTATTTAGTTATCGTTATTAAGCACTAGATTGGTGTGTATTTCGGTGCGTGCAATAGCACATTCCTACTTTCGAATTATTACCATGTTCGAATTATTACATGACTGTGTCTTCCTAGAAAATAAAATTTCATATTATCTGTTAGAGCGATTAACAATTCCATTCGTTAATTCCATCGAAGATTAACTTTTTTTAAGAGTCAGATATTATAACTTTCCACCAAATGTTACCAATAAGGATAAGAAGTTAGATCCTAAAATTTAATCTTTCAACCTTTAGCGAGCTTCTTACGGCTTTGTCTAGACCGTTTTTCACGTAATTTAATTCTACGCATATTACGTATTATCTAAATCTAGACTAGCCGATTGTATGCGATTCCTGACACAAACATCTATACACATTTCATTAACACTTACATATATGAAGACGAATCACACAAAACAATTTGAAATATTTCACTATAACATCCCTGTTTTCCTAACTGCTCGCGGTGGAATTTATTAATATCAATAATTCTGAGTTATCTAAGTAATTTTTATCTAATAAACATTATCATGAGTTACTTTGACATATCAAATACGCGGCTCGAAATATTTTTTTTTTATTATTATCATTAGACTGCTACAATACCCTACAGATGGGTCGAAGTGAGGTAAAAACGCTTATGCGCAAAGGTATTCCAAATAATCTCGAAACGTACAAACTACGAAATAAACAAGATGAAAGTGCCTGAAGTTAGACTTAAATACAATTTAAACGAAATATCTAGTTTTGAATCTAATCTAGATATAAATGAGAGTTTAACTAAGTTACAGACTAAGGTCACAAACCTCAACAATGATACCTTATCTAAAAGTTAGTGGTAAAGTGCCAATAAGTGAGTAAAAGTCTTTACAATCGGTGAAAATTTGTGAGAATACAAATCAGGGGAAGAAATTTGTGTACTAAATTTACCCTGTATTCTAGGATTTATTCGTGATAATACGGTTAATATTAAATATAGCTGGAAGTAATCCAACACGCCTAATAAGTCACAAAAGGCGCATCGTTAAACTTAAGCATATTATAATGGTGAAACATCATTCAGTCGTCACGTTTTTGGGCAAGCATTCGTTTTATTTCTATTATAATAATTTTATAATTCAAGCGAAACTAGAAACAGAATTGTAAAAAGTAACATCATTTGTAGTTATTGGCGTTCATTATAAACTATCACTCAGAGGATACTGTGGCAGATTTGGCACTCTGTTTAAAAAATCTAATAAAACAAGTTACCAAACTATCTAAGAATATCGATCATTATAAAAATGTATTATATTACAATTGGCAGTCAATTGTGTTACACGAATATTATCTAAACAAATAATATCACCGTCGCGACGTGACTCTTATAGACTAGGTATTTGGCAATATGATAAGTGTCTTTTTATTCACTCTGATGACTAGACTTACTAAACCTAATATATCTACAATCCCCTTTAACTCTATTACAACTACTGGGAAATTATTACCATTCGTCAAATATCGATATTGTCCTTATGATTTTTACGCGAGTACGTAGTTTATCAAATACTAAATGTATATTTCAAATTTAATACATCACCTTTATTAAATACGTCATCTGAAATGTCCGGCTCTCAAAGAGGACGTTTGCACAAAACCATTACATAATATTGAATGCTAATCGACGTTCGGTTGAATAGTACCTCTGTACAATACTTAATATTAAGAAATTGAGCTCGATTTTATTTGAAGTAAACCTTAAAAATTAGTGTTTATTAATTAATACTCTTTTAACACTCGAAAATCAAAAGTATGCTATAGCAAGAAACCATTAAAAAATCCTAAAGTTAAACAGTACAATGTTTGTGCGCTCGTATCAAATAATTTATGGAAAAGAAATCCGATGAAAATATTATAAAAGATGCATTCGCTTAAAGTATAAACGTTCAATACAGCAATTCTAATTATAAAAAATAGTTGCGGCGGATTCGGCTGTGATTGTAAAGGCCGTATCTTGAATTTGCGTTCTCGTTCCACTATCGAAGGACACATTATCAAGTTTATGTTCATTTCTATTACAAAAAGACGGCTTAGAATGCGTATAAGGCGTAGAAACGTCCACAACGCATCGGGCACTTGGCACCTCACTGAGCACTTAAATCCTCGCCTGGCAGTCCCCAGCTGAGAGCTTTACATGGATCATCCATGCCACCACATGACGATCAGCTCCCAGAACGTCTTCGGCGGCGAGTGGCCGAAGACGTAAGACGAATTTCAGAGACCCGGATCTCCTTCGGAGCCCATTTTGAGCAATTCCAATTTCTTCTTGGCAATTTTTGAGTAGAGGATGTCGATCGGCTTGGTATTGTCGTAGAATGTTGGTGCTCTGAATATTATCAGTGCAGTTCCCATCACGCACGCTATTGTGAATGCGAATAGGAAGATTCTGTCTAACACCATGGCGACGTACTTCCAATCATCTTCAACCTAGAAAAGAAAATGAATATAATTCAGGAAATATTTGTTCATATTTTAAAACCATTATAAATCTCATCCCATTGAGTATTATTATTCTGGCAATAAAATTATCTTAATTTGTATTATTAAATTTATTGTAATCGCTTATGTAGATACATAGATTTATAATTTTAATATAAGTTAACCTTTTAATAGGTAGTTGAAAAAACATTAAATGGAAATATCATGCAAATACTAATACTAAAGAACAAAATATATTGCTGACGCTGATTAATAACGACTATCATAGCTGAGTGGTTCTCACGGACATTTTAAAAAATGAACTTTTTTTATATATTGTATCGGGTGTTGTGGTACCTTCGTTGTTTCAGATACTTTTTAATACAAAAGCTTTAGATTCTTATCTTGGAATTTTAGTATGTGATGTTGTTTTATATTTTTAATTTATATCCAATAGTATTTTTAGTATTTATTAAATAACTGTTTTGAAAAATCTATGCCTAAAATTATTAATCATACTCAGAAAACAATTGTGAATCACGAATTTTATGTTGTATATTACCAATAGAAATATATGCTTAATTTATAATAACGGTCACTAAAATTATTAATAATAAAGATTCACTTACACTTTCAAACTTATCTTTATTCTTAACATGCTGTGCAATGAACCTCGATCCCTCTATAGTCTTTTCCATCTCTCTCACAAATGGCTTTTCTAGAGATGAAGTGCCGTCATCTAGATCCATGCGGCATGGCGAGCTCGGGGGCGGAGAGAATAGTTCGTCGTCTCCCCCCGGGGGAGGCGGCGGTGAGGGGGGCATTCCAGGCAGGTCGTACTCTTCACAGCCCCATTCTTTGAATTTTCCATCCATGTCGTCCCCACCGAACACGTCAGTAATCACCTGAAGTAAATATTGTTTATGAATTTTCTAATTTCGTGGTCTATTTAAGGCAAGACGATTTTTAAAACAAATCAAGCAGTCTCAGATACCTAGAGATGAGAATTAATGTACCTGGGACTGGTGAAATTTTTCTTCACGATATAATTAAGCAGTTCTATTAATTTTTTTTAACACGAACTTAGCTTTGTGGTTTGAAATATACGATAGAAATTAGGTAAATTCAATACTGATGTAAAGTTTTTAAATTTGCCAAATAATGGATGTTTAAGAGCTAAAACATACTATCATCAAATTCTTCAATCAATCTTAAGTACTTCCTTTGCTTCGAATCTCTATAAAACAGGAGTATTAGTTACTTTACTTCTAAAAATAAATGAACCAGGAAAAAAATAAAATAAAATCATAAACACAAAAATAGTAGAATTTTAAGATAAATAACAGACTAATAATAATACCAATGACATAATTATACCTATTGTCCTGATAGTTACTTGACGAAAGTTTTATTTAATATTAATATGAGATAGACCTTATATTTAAATACAGAAAGCTACAATCAAACGGGTTTAGTAACTTATTACAAATTCTGGCATAGTAAGCTTAGTGGTGTGTGTAATTCTCGCAGATTAAAACGTCAGTTAGCGTTTCGCGGCAGTGTATCGACGCGGCTTAAGCCGGCACACAATTAGGCCGGAGTGGCGGCTTGGGTTCGTCTGCTAGCTCGTATATCGCGATCCGTTCGCAACCACCAGGGGAACATAAATAACGGGCCGCTTGCGCTCGTTAAGCCAGCCGGCGTTGAGTAATAAAGGAAAATCGAAATGGAATGAAATTGGGCTGGAACCGATATTTTCGACGATACACACGGAGCACAATGGATTTAGAATATTGTTGAAAGGAGCTCCCAGAAGAGTATCGCGGCTGAGGACAATTAAAATGGTTATTGTTGAGGGCGGCTTCGACGACTGTAATAGAGTTCTGTTTATATTGAATTCGTTTCAACGGAAAATGTTTTGAATGAAGGAAACTCGATGAGAAAAGGCGCCGACGTTGTTTTTTGTACCAAAGGGGATTCGTTCTAAAGAACTTAATTTGTGAAGGCTTCTATTTCACTAATTTAATTAAAAAGTTAAGAAAGGGCGAATGCTTTATTCAGAGGACTTAGATAAATAAACGTCGATTCACTAATGGTTAGCTACTCGTATAAAAGTGTAGTGATTCCCCCATTTCTACAGTGTTCTGTTTGTTCTTAAGAATAAATATTTCTTACCTCGGTCGGTTTATCATTATCATCGTCATCGTCTGGTGGCTTTTCTGGCCTTTGTATACATAATATTTTGGGTAAAAAATCTATAAAGACTTTCCGTACCCACGGAGCCATATGGTGGGTAACTGGCGATCTAAAATTTACGTTTAGCACCACTATAGTGACTACTACTGATAACGTTACTAGCATCATAGTGAATAGTAAATATTTGCCTAGCAGTGGCACCGTTAATGATGTGGGTGGAATGATTTCTGCCAATAGCAAGAAAAACACAGTCAGAGAAAGTAAAATAGAGATGCAAAGTGAAATTTTTTCACCAGAATCTGAAGGTAAGTAGAAAACTAGGACCGAAAGAAATGATATTCCTACACAAGGGATGATGAGATTGACTGTGTAAAACAAGGTTTTTCTTCTTAGGGTAAGGTTAAAAATAATATCTGGGTACGGTTCTTCGCAACAAGAGTAGAACTTTTCGTTTCGAGTAGCAGGGACTCGCATGATATCCCATTCTACCGAGATGTAATATTCTGATAGATCTATGCCCATCCCTATGTGATCGGAGTCTGGTGTTTGTTTCAGATGCCTCAAGTCCACCTGTGAAAGAAAAACAAAGCTTTAATCTTCGCATCTCGGGTACATGGGATTAGTAGGTTTTTAAGTATTATTCATTTAAAATATTCATTTATTATAGCATTTAAAACGCAAAATTAATTAGATGTAAATAGTTTTAGTTATGTTTCTACCAATTGAGATGATGTAAGTTTACTCGATTTTTATAAAGAACATTAACTTACAAATTCTATTTGATGTCAACAAATGCGGATCTAGAGTGAAAGAACTGCCATGCGATTCTGTAAAAATCGGTACCTGAAATCGGATTTACTCAGGTGTCCCAATTCACTTCAAAAACCTTGAATTGGTAATAAGGTTTTATGTCACAAGTGAAGTGAATTTCGAAATTACATAGGAATAGAATATCTGAGACACGTATATCCAATCAATTATGTTTTGTATTTTACAACTAAATTGGAATCAATAGAATGTCTGCACTAAACGACGTGAACGCGGACACATGAGTGAATTCGAATTCGGGTCTGGATTTTTACAGAATCGTTAGGATGATATCAAATCTCAAATGAACATTAAAATAGGTGATAAAACACGCAAATTGAAGTTTGGTCTCATTTACGTGGAGATTGAAGAAACTGCTTAGATTTCTCAATTTAGACAAATTGCGGCCTCTTCTAATTCTGTTATATTGGAATACATCTATATAAAAAAAAAATCACTTCGCATATTTTTTAACCGCATTATCGGTCTATTTTTTTCAGTTATTTCCTCTATAATTAAACTATAATGATAGAAATGATTGCATATAACGCACCGTATACCCATCATAGCTCCAGGACCCGAACTTCATGAAGCATGTCTGCTCATCGAATGGAAAATATTCGACATCGATCTCGCAGAATGACTTGTAGATGGCCGGTGGTTTCCACACAACCTTTCCGTCGTGGTGAAGGATGGCCTTCGTCATGATCGTTACTTCGTAGTTGCCGTCCGCACTGTTGAAAAAAAAAACAAAATATTAGAATTTTTTCTTCGCCACCGAGTCTAATTGATATTAGAAATGTTTATTTATCAATTTTGCTTTGTATACAGATAAACATTTTCAAGTTACAGACAAACATCTACATATTATAACTTTTAAAATAAGTATATACCACAAGAGGAAAAAAAGGAAAGATAATTATTACAATTTATATGTCACTCGTATTTAGAAAAAAACACGTACAAACCTGCGGTATTTATTAAAAATATTTTTATTGTATGTTGTAAATAAATATTTGGTTTCGCAATTTTTCCTTTATCTGTGCTATAGGATGTTGCTTCTGACCAAATTTTAAGATTCTGAGTTCACGGGAAATACCCTGCAGGTTTTGATTTCCTTGCGAGTTTCGAAAATTTGTGGAAATCTGCGGCATAACTGTTCTATCTTTTGATTGTTCATTTTTTAACAGCTCCAAGGGTCAGGTCAGGTCTACTGTCCTGATTATTTGGTTCAGCTTGATACCTACGTGCGTTTCTGAGAAAAAGGGTCTTGACAGACGGACGGACGGACGGACAACAAAGTGTTACGTTTTGAGGTACGGAACCCTAAAAATTATATGGTCTCAAAATATTGCCGACCTTCGTAGCCGAATGGCGCCAGATTCGAATTCGCACGCCGGTTTCAAGGTGTCGCCATCTCTGAGATCCCAGGTTCAATTCCCGATTGGGTCAATGTAGAAAATGAAATTTTCTGTATTGTTTCGAGTCTGAGTGTAGTGGTACCTTCGTTGTCTCGGATACTTCATAATACGGGGGCTTTAGCTACTCATTTTGGTATCTGAGCAATATCTGTGATGTTGTTTAATATTTATTTATATTTATTCTAGCTAAAGTATAATGAAAGCAAAGTGATATCAAGTTATTATAAAATGCTTCTACCTAAAGTCATAAATATAGGATTTCATAAACATAAATACACAAAACATATAATATAGGTGAACGTAAATCACCCAAATGCTTTGATACTAAGATTACTGAGATTACAATTGCTGGTAATAGGATTTAGCGTAGGACTATGGACGACATAAATGTAGAGAAAGATTGATTGCATATTAATAATATATCGTATAAACGGAAGATGGTCTATTGTTCAGATACTCAAATGCCAAAACTGACATCTGTAAAGTTCCGTAATGGTAAACAAAAAATTACTTAAAGTTCTAAATTAATTACATAAGAACTACTTGTTAGTTCAAACAATGACAAAGCATACTGTGTTTTCTTTATAAGAATGTTTCCTATATATTTCATACATTTATTATTTACCAATTTATGAGTAGAATCAATTGTAGTTATAAAAAAATTAAATAACGGTGGAAAAATAAAACGCTCTGTTCCGAGTTATTTATTCAATACTTAGCAAACAAGTACAAACAATAATATATTCAGAAATGGAACATTAGCATAATAATAAGTCAAGAATCGAGTTCAAAATCTTAAAGGGAAGGAAGCAAGACATTAACTTACATGCAACAAAGCCTAAATATACCATTTAATCTTTACCTAACATGTACTTACAATATAATGACGCTCTCTCAGCTAATTTGCAAAGACATTGTCAAAACGGTAGAGTTCAGACTAAAAGCGCTGTCGCAACCAACTTGTACTGTTCACGATTTGTCTCATGAAATAGGTCACCATCAACAATTAGGTAACGTGGCTACATTAAAAATAAACTTAACAACGGATTACCGACAAATTTTATTCATAGGATGCATTATAAGGTTAACGTCCTCTTTTAAAACATTACCATCATAGAGAGAATACAGTTTTCGCATCATGGTCGACATTTCAGAAAATAATTCATTTCATTAAATCTCACCATTAAGTTGTTGTTTGTTTCAGTATTTTACAGAAATACCTCTTTTCTATGTAATTTATGTCGAAACTAATTTATATCTTAATTTTTTACAAGGAAAACTATTAGAAATTAAGATAATTAAATTATTATTTACACCGTAATTTTTTTATTACTTTTTGAGAAACATACGAGTAATTTATTAATAGCAAAGCATGTTATATAATAATACCTTTTGAGAAACAGGGCATAATATATTTCTAAAAAGGTTTCGAGAAAAATAGTTCTTCATATAAGTAGTTACAGAATTCGTAATAGGTTTTGACTTCTACTTCGGCATTGATTACGAAGAAATGTTTCAACGGAGCTTTTAAATTACTTTACTATCACCTAGTCAAGAAATTTATAGTATTTGGAGATGCGCAAAAGTTGCTTAACAACCGTATCGCAGGCCGAGCGCACTAACCACTGCGTCATCGAGCTCTATGTTTTAAGTGACATCAAAGTCTTATGTTTTAAGTGACATCAAAGTCTATCATGGCTCTCACAACAATTGAAATAAAGATTAAAATCTCTTATATTATTTAACATTCTGTAACATAAAATAAAGGTAATCGAAACGCAAATTTGTATTGTTTGAAGTACACTTATAGAATCAGACTTTGAGGCAGTCCATTAGAATAATTGATCAACATTCATTACAACTCTACGTTTGCGGCGGCTATCAGCTCTTAAGGATATGAATTTCAGTTGAATTCTAAGTTAAATCTAATAAATTAAAAATGTAACAAAAGTCCATTAAGTACAGATCGATAGATTTGTGTAATATTCAAAATAAGTAAACAGAAGTTTCATTTAAATAAATAATTGCTGTCGATTGCTTTTGAAGTATTTAAAATAGGAAAAACATTTATCACAATTGTCTTAAAGAATCAATCAATCACTAGCTACTTAAAGCGTCGCGTAAAATAAATACTTATATGAGACGATAGAAGTAATGCGATTAAAATAAGTTCAGATAAAGTTTATATTAATATTAAAAGTTTTCTAAGTATTGTCAGAAATATTTATCAAGGCGTGTTTGCCACACCTTGATGCTATTTAGATTAAAGCCACTTATCGTGTCTTCTGGATGGCTAACTCTGGGTGCAGTCTGCTTTATCCATTCACAAAGCTTTCAGGTGAAAAATGATCTTACCGCCTTTTATATAAAGTACTGTCTTGCTTAAATAGGCAGGCGAAGCTTTAACACACTCCTGCTAGACATACTTCTATTGATAATAGTAACAACACGCTAACAGTGAATCCCTCATTGTTTAAAAATAAATATTAAATACTAGCTTCTTTAATCTACTTCGCCTGAGTAAATTTAATCTATGTGACTCACGCGTGATAAAGCTTCTCGTAAAGTTTTCATGATAGGATCAGTATTTCCGAATATTACTGCCTACAAACAAATATTAGTATCGAAAAAATTAAATACATTGCTCACACCCTAAGTTTTAGTCAGAATAAATAGATCTGAGATAATATAGGTAGTATGTTTTCTATATTGAACCTAGCCAAAAATTTAAACAGTAAAATGGCGACTCATTAAAATTTTACCACTGGGTTAAGAAGGTTACAAAATATAATTTTCTTGTGAACTTTGATTAGACTATACCTAATACATATATTATAATTATTGAATAAGGTATAAATACTCTGAAATAATAAGACTATATTACCTGTACTACGTTAGTAATATCTATTAAGTTCATAGAAGTAAATAAATAAGTAAAAAAACAAAAGCTTTCAATTGAATGAAACTGTTGACTGTTTACTACTTATCTTAATCAAAAGTCACATCAAATGTAAATATGACAAATCTTTTTCTCAGATATACAATTAGTATTGTTTAGAAGCTTAATCAGCGCGCTCGGTCATGCAGTTATCAAGAACTTTCGCAAGGCCCTGTCATAAGATAGGTGACCAAAAATTATTATCTCTGGCTCCTCCGTGTTTCGACAGGCAAGTTAATCCTTTGGTCCCTACTACATCTGCAGTCGTTAAATCCCACCAATCTGCACTTGACACGCGTCATGGCAAATTCTCCCTATTTGATTTGTGTCGAGACCAATAGGGAAGGCCTGAGCCCCATCAAAAGTACATCAACAGGCCGGTGATGATGATGAGTGCAACATTAGGAAAATTTATTGGTTAACAGAGTTTTACGTTGTTTCCTGTAGAAATAAAAATATTCCTATAATAGATAAAAAATATCCCTATCAACGATAAAGAGCAACTCTTACCAGAGTTATATTAAATATATCAAACGTTAACTTTAATAAAAAAGTACTAAATGAATTTAAACATAGTAACAAAACTAGAGCAATAGCATCAATATCGAATACTAATGTACATAAATATGTATCTCCACTTCAAAATCACAAATGCTGTATATGAAAACCAAATTTAATCTTGAAGTGAAGCGAATTTTGCCTGAAGCTAAATAAAAATTATCTCACAACAAACAATGTTGGTCGAAAATAGGATTAAAAAATCCACCGTTTCATAACTGGAGACTCAGTGAAACAATACAGTGAGTTTAAATTAAACCAAAATGTTGTACGAGGATCGTGCGCCCACTATAAAAAAATCGTAAAAATCTCCTGAAATTACTTTATGTTGTTAAACTCGGATTAGAGTTTGTAGTTAGTTTCTAGTTTTATAACCGTCATATACAGTAATACAAATAAGGCTCCGGAGGCGCCTCTAAACCTAGAAATATGAGCTAAAATGTAATAGAGACTATTACATTTTAGTTAATATTTTGATAATATTGTATCCTTAATATTATTTAAAAATTAAGAAAGTTAAATAGTAACGATAACGGATACAAAATAATTATAATCTCTAGTCTCGATCATATACTTTTTATTTCAGACTAAGAGATAAATAGGAGTTTTCAAAATGTTCATTATTAACGCTTGACTTCTAAGAAATACTTTCCGGAACCGGTCGTAACTTTATAAAGCACTAAATTCAATCCAAGGGAACCTCCATCGCGTCCAGTCATTACATTTTTGGCAATGGCTCAACAATATAAATCAATAACACTGTCTTCTGGCACCACTGCGATTTTCAAATCGAGACATGCTCCTTTTTGTACTTGTACTTTTTACTCACAGTATTAAATTTCTGCAGAATAGTGTATTGTGGAATAAGGCATGTACCTGTTGAATGTATCAATACAGGTAAGTTTTGATAGTTTGGACTGCTGGAAAGAATGAATGGCTATTGTCAGGAGTCATTTGTGGCGATCACTGGTAAAATTGATTATGCGTTAATGATATGGTTCTTTCGCTTTTAAGGTTCTATTACGGGTAATGTAAATTAAAATAAATGTTTTTGTTACTTAACTACGCTATTTTTTTTATTTTGACTTGATTTCAGTTTCTTTAATCTCCATATCAAAATGTTTTCAGCAACAGAATATTTCAGCAACGGAATATTGTAACAAGAATAGGTTGGTTCTTAGTATAAATAAGTGCATTACTATAACTTTTACGAAAAAGTTGCAAAAAAGTGTTTTTGACTATCAATTGTGTGGTATCAGGCTTCACCGTGTAAAATCTATAAAAGACTTAGGAGTGACATTAGATAGTAAATTATAGTACATCTTGATGAGCACATAGACAATATCACGAATAAGGCTTATAAAATTTACGGGATTGTTATGCGATCTAGTACTAATTTTAATCGTCACTCTACTTACCTTCACTTATACAAAACCCTTGTTCGCCCTCAAATAGAATATGCTGTGCCCATATGGAACCCATTTTATAATGTTCAGAGGAAATTCTTGCGTTGTATGCATTATAAGTGTTTTGGTGGTAGGTTATCGTATCAACAGCTCCTACTCAAATATAATTGTATAAGTTTGGAACATAGACGTTTATTTCTGGAAGCTGTGTTACTATATGACATATTCCAAAACCGCTATGACTGTATACCATTGACTAATAAATTAAGATATAAAATTCCAACAAGAACTCACTGCCGTAGCATCTGTAAATTGTTTGCTGGTGCTCGATGTCGTACCAATGCAGGAAAAAGATCACCGTTTAATCGAATGCTTAATACTTACAATAATAAATTTAATGCAATTGACTTAGCGACGGCAAACAGAAATAAGTTTAGGAAATATATATTAGAAGCGCTTTAGTAGTATATACTTATTTTTTTAGTAACAATGTAGTAGTAAATTATATTTTAATCAGCCCAACTGTAATTGTTTATTATAGTTATTAAAGTAATAAGTGGTAAACGGTGCTGATGGCACAACTAGTATGTCATCATGTTTTGTATTGTATACACTTATATTGTTGTGTCATTGTTTGTTTACCCGAATATCAATAAAAAAAAAAACAGCTTATACCATATATTTTAAGCTGCCCACCAGTGCGTCGACCCCGTGTTTTTTAGAGAACCGTTTAGTGCGGTAAAAACAGCTATTTCAATTCAGGTTTCGAATTCTCCGTATTCCAAATTACTTCAAAAACCGTTCAGTAGTTTCTACGTGAAAGAGTAAGAAACATACACATCCTCACAAAACTTTCGCATTAATAATATAAGTAGGATTTTATGTGAGTACTTTATCATTTTTAGTCATGTATTTGCCATTCACGTAAGTTCTTCTATACCAAATATTTAAGTAAAAAGTCCACCGCCACAACCATAGTAAAACTGTCCATTTAAGACAGTTTTGCGTTGCCGTGGTTAAAGTTTGCCCAAGATAAACTTGTCGAGTCACCGTGATAATGCAGAATAATGGGATCAGACCCCTGGAACGGAAATAAAGAGATAAGACCCGACCTAATAGAAGAAGATTTTATAGGTGTTGGTAAAGAAAGTTAACTTTTATTGAAAGAAATGGTCATATGGAACTATCGAGACAACTTTTTAAAGAGTTTAATTTAATAGTAAACAAAGTTTGAGTTAGATTAATGGTAAGGAGAAGAGCCTGTAAACATATGTATGTGACTTTCCTTTTTGAGTTCTTTTTAGCTTCAATATTGTAAATAACAGTTGTGCATATTCGGGCATAGGTTTTTTGAAGCAAGATTATCTTCTAAATTGATATATGAGTGTGTGTGTAGATAAGTGTAGTGGTTTTACGAGTCTGTATTTAGTGCTAATAATATCATTATTAGGAGGAAAAGTAAGTAAATATAATTAAGCAGAAAATGCCGTCTACTTTTATAAATCACTAGAAAAAGTTATAAACCTTTTAAAGAATGTATACTTCTAATAATTAATTGAATGGGTACTCACTTATTATAAAGCACAATATCTGGTAACCAAATGTGTTCGGAAGGCACGTGCAGTGTGTCCACGCCACCATAGTCATCGGGGTTCCACTTCAGTTTATAGTCATTCCATTCCTGAAAATAAAGGCCATCTCAGAATCTTATACGCAAACAGTGAACTAATTAGGTACCCACGCGGGTTAACTGACTTTATTATCAACTTCTACTAATCTACAGCACAGAATTGGCAAAGACTATAATTCAAAATTGATCAAATTGTTGGATTCGCGCATAGAGTAGGACTGTAGGTTTTTTTTTACTTTAAATGCTAATTCTAGCCACTTTGTAGTAGTTCTTTATTTTTTACTTTTCTTTTTTTTATTGGCATTGCCAATATCAGCAGGTGTTCATTGACCAGGGACTGCACTTTTTTCCTATTATTTAAAAAAACATTAATTCCCGAAATCAAACTAGATGTCGCTACGGTACTTTCTTAATTTCTCCATGACAAACCTTCCGTTTGGAAATCTCAGTTATTTAATATGATAGTTAAAAGGAACGGCAATGATTATCTTTGGTACATTCATTTCCTGCAAAAATCAACTTTTGCTAGAGTTGCCATCCACTTCCTCATTACATTTCTTGCTTATTCTATTTTTTACATTTTTATGGTTCTGGTTTTCTATTATAATCACATTTTTTATTGTCTATTCTTTATACAGTCTTATCTTATATTTACATTTTCATTTTTTATTTGCTTATTTGTTACACATTTATTGTATATTTAATTCTTTTATTTTTTCCTGTTATACATCTATATATATGAAACTATTTCCAGATTTTTTTTCTTAATTTAAGTAGTTTCTCAATTCAAGTAGTTTCGGAGAATAAGGGGTAGAGGAAACGGAACGGTCATTTTCGTAAATTTTGAACCGATTCCAAATTCCCAAGGGTGTACCTTTACATTAAACACTTTTGTTTCTACGAATTGAAAACGGATTTTAAAGCTTATATTAGAAAGCCTATGAGCCCTGAAGCCCCAAGGCCGTATGAATTTAATAAGTCAAATCGGATCAGTAGTTTTGGTTTTATGATAAAAACAACTATTATCCCGCTACGCGTTTGGTGTTTGTTGGTCGATCATACATTCAATTTGTACACAGTTTGACGCGATAGCATGTGGCTTTGAATCGACATTAAATATTTGTATAACAAAATAGTTTAAAAATAAGACAGACTGACTCATTTTTAGGGCGGTTCATATGTATTACTTTTAATCGGTTTTATTATTTTATTTTAAAATATGAATGTATATAATTGAGATTCTTTTTTACAATGGCTTTTTCATTTAATGTGCCACATAATGTACTTAACAAAAAATGTATTTACCCCAGAAAAACATGTCATGTATTAAATTCAATATACGTTAAAATGTAGCCTGCGTCACCATCCGTGTATCAATTATTGATGTTTTCCTGTAAACGATGTACTAGTTTCAGATAAATTTTTCTATGACAAACGCACAGATAGACAACCGAATGATCCTATAAGCATTCGGTCTTTTTTTTGGCTCCCAAGCATACATTTAGATATGTAAATGTCTTTTGTACTGCACGAGTTATAAAATCGCACAATTAAAATTATTATATTTGGAGTTGTTGTGTGTTGTGTTGCTAAAAGTTTTCAACTTTTGTTATGAAATAGTTGGGAGGGTGGTACATAAGAGGATTGTAGGTTGTTTGAGGTAATCCTGTATAATTTGGGCTTTAAGTTATTACGGTAAGCCTAACTTGAATCCGCCTAATGTTTACTAATGAAGTGTCAGACATTAACTTATACTGAAAATGTATGTGGAACTGTTTCAATTACGAAACAGAACATTCAAACTAATTCAATTTTATTAAACGTTCATAAATGAAACATGGTAGAAGCTGCCATACGATTGATTTAAAATGCCGTACTAGCCATACTATTCCCAAAATTTTAAGGACTATCTTATTTTGGTATTACATTCAATTCGATAATGCTAAAATAAATATCATTATTTTAACTTTACTGTCGTAATAACATCATAATTACGTATCTGAATATACAACAAAACCTTCATTACAGGATAACTATGTGGTTAAATTTCCATCAATATTCATTGTTCGTGATTGGGCTATCAACAATGTTCGATATAGTTCAATAATTTCAATAAAATCAAATTAAACTGGCGCCCAACATGTTGCTCCAATATTAAATTTAATAATCTGGAGTAGTAACAGAAAAATATTTCAATATCAGATACTATGAGTACGGCAAAAAACCTTAACGTTTGGATAATAATACTAAAATTTCATTTCACCAAAGAACGCTCCGTTGCAAAGGTTTGATGCCAACATCTTCGATTTTAACCTCCATTTAAGTCTGACAAAGTGGTTATTTGACCAGTCCAAGGCTGTTGACTCAGGACCACGGTTGAAAGTCGGAAATTGCGGGCCTTATTAGGTTCCGAGATTGAGTCGATTGAAAATCTGGACTATACAGGAAAATAGACTGGTCACAGTGTTCACAAATCCAACAGTATTTTTCTTTGACGCTGCAGACTCACTTACTTTTACTAAAACGTCAAAGTGTTTCATATTTTATAATATATCTATCCTCGAAAATATTTTTTTTTTAATTACTTAAATGTTTGTCAAACATCTATTTCAATTTCAATAATATGATCAAAATAATAATAATGAATTTCCCAAGTGACTAGTTATATTAAATTAATTGTCATAGAAATAGTAACATTTTAGTCTATCGTTGAGAACTACCCGAAAAATCAATTACAAAAAACTTACATTTAGTTACATACCTAATACGAATTCTTATTGTTACAAGTTTCTTCAACTAAAAATTGGTACTCAAACTCAATTAAAATTTGTCGAAAGACTCGGTTTTAGTGTTATATGTAAGAGGCCTTTAATGAATCTTGAATGTTTAATAGAATTGCGGAGTAAATGGAATGCGAGGGAGGGAACGATAGTAGATGCTGAGACAGGAACCATTTACATCTCTCCATTTATGATGATATTTTGTTTTTTTCCATTAGCGAAGTTGAGCTTAATAAAAAAATTAATGAGATCAAGCTAAAAACATTGACAATCTAGATAGTATTTGGTTTTTACCGTAGTTTTATTAAAATACTACCCGGCATTGGAAGCAATTCTGTCTCACACATCACCAGCCTATTAATATTAAGGGAATCGAATCAAATCGAACAAGAAGAATGGACCGTGAACCTCTACGCTGGCCCAGTGCAGATTGCTAGGTGTTAACGACTGCAGATAAAGCCACATAGTGACCAACCACTATGACATCTAATTTCTCACTTATTCCATAAACATTTGCAACAATAAAAACCACCAGAACAATCGAGATAAAATTCAGATAATACTTTGTATAACAAAGTTTTATTTATAATTAAAAATAATCTAAAATGATACAAAACATTGTTCCTGTCTATCCCAAATAGAACGCATGGTAAAAACATTTCGCTATACTAACAACGATACAAATTAAAAGGAAGAAAAATAATTTGAATTCTAAATGCGCAACCATAAAGTATATTTTTGCAAAAGCTCCCGTTTTCTGAATACGATGAAACAGCACAACAAGGAAACGGGCGTTCGTTTGTTTTACGAGATCCCCACAAATGGATTTGGTTTATGATTCATTATGTCATAATTAATGTGCATTTATATAAGACAAGGTTGAAATCAAGACTTTCTGAGAATCATCCTTGGGTATACGCTGATCTAATTAGAATGCGTCATGTTTTCTTGCATACAACATAAAATTTTATAAATGCCTTATTATATTTATGACGAGATTAATAAGATTACCCCAAATTGCAAACACACTTTGATTAGGAGCTCAATAAACAAATTCTATCTACAGCGTCGTCTTTGACAAATTTCACACACTTTTTGGACATAAAAATGAAGTAAAGTTCATTAAGTTACTAAGTATTAAAGTAAAATTAAATACACTTCAACTAACCGCACTTTTATTTTACACCTACAATTCAATATTATTTATCGTTATATAATGTTGTAAGCTACGCCACCAGATCGCGAATCTACGACGAGAGACCTTGTAATCAGGATTGACAAGGAAATCGGCAAGGGCTGCTTTTTTCCCCCTGTTTTATTTCCTACAAAGAAGGCCTATTGGAAAATTGAATACTTACAATGTGCTAATTTTTCATACGTATTTCTTTATACACACATGTTCTCAGTTACTTTGGAACCGATAACTGGATATTTAATAGTATCTGGCTGTAGTATGTAACGTGTTGGATTTGTGATGGCGGTATATGATTGAACTAATGTAATATTTATAGGTACGTTGAAATATCCTTTACATTTAACTGATTCAAATTATAAACTTCAATTAGATTTGCCTTACATAAATTAACAAACAGGTCAAGTTAAATAGAAGTTTGGAAAGAACGGCCTTTATATAGTAGTGTAGTCCATTTTATGGAATAATTAATCCTTATACATATTATATGATACATTCAATTCTAAAACTAAATTTGAAAAATGGTCTCGAGTGAACTAAATTTTGCACAGAACATTTCCAGAGCTTTTTCACGCGGGGGCAATCGTTAGCACAAATGCTCTGAATCAATGCTTTGTAATTTCCCGGCGAAAGGAGTTCTTACGTTCTTATATTAAAATTCAGCGGTCACACCCAGCACTTTGTCCCTGGAAGATTATTTATATAACGCGATTTTTTATATTGCCCCCAATTGACTAATGAAATGAATTTCGAACGAATAATAAGCATTTGAAGTTTGATATTTCTATTAAGAAAAAAGAACTTAATATAAAAACTACTGGATACAATAGGTATATACAAACTACTGGAACTGTCTGTGTAAATGCGCTAATTTCTGTAACTTTAGTTTTATTTTTGATGTATGTCAACTTCAAAAATAGGATGGATGAGATTATTTTAAATGAAACGGTATGTAAAACAACAAGGCATAGCTAATTGAATAATAAAGTTCACCAACAAAACACAATTCTCAGCATTCAAAAGAATTAAATAAATAGCCTTATTAATCCAAAGCTACCAGAGCAGAGCAGAGTTCGCAC